TTATTTTCCTTTTGTATCCAAAATTGCAGTGCACGTTTTATTATAAACTACCTTAAAAGCTGACCTATCGGGCGGCATTTTAAGCTAGCTCCTATGGGGCACTCTTGCTTTGGCCATCATCGCAATAGCTAGGGAGGAGTAGATGCGATAGGCATCAATAAACTACAGTAAAACTCAAAATTGATCGCTGTATTTAAGTATTGAATTAATGTTTATGTTTACCTTTTAAAAGTTCAACGATAATTCTTCTGTTGCCAAGTTAGCATCTGTTTGTAAAACTTTCCTTAAATATAACAAGCTAATTTATGAATGAAATGTTCATTTAAAATTTTTGTTTCAAATATTTCAAGTAGTGAATGTATCTTACTTTGCGAAGCGATCGGGCGAAACCTGCTAGTACTATATATTACTATATAAAATATATTGTAGAACAGGTATATTGACCTTGACTTGTATAAAAATACGTATGCTGTTGGCAAACTGAATGATTTTAAAACCCAAAGTCGGTACATAGTTAGCAAAAGGTTGCTGTCCCCTGCTATACAGCCATTGACAAGATCATGGAGTACACAATGATTTTGTGATCTTGTCGACTGGTGATCTGTTACCATATAGTAAAGTACCTTTATTGTTTTATTTCCCTCTTTTTTACTCACTTTTATTATAGATGCATTTTAGTTTAGACAACGTTTTCATCGCCTCCTCTTTAGCCTAAGAATGTATTGGACCCCCCCCCCTAATAAGCGACAAGCTTAAGCCACGTGATTCTCACATTTTCTATCCTCCAAATTCTCGCTCCAGCTGATAGCATCGCCGGTATGTAATGTCTTATATTCTTTATCTAAGTCTTGAACTCTGTTAATATCTCATTATTATTAATATATTTTTAATACATACTAAAGTGTATATACAATATATTACTATATAAAATATATTATAGAACAGGTATATTGACCTTGGCTTGTATAAAAATACATATGCTGTTGGCAAACTGAATGATTTTAAAACCGTAAGTCGGTACATAGTTAGCAAAAGGTTGCTGTCCCCTGGTGCATAGTATGTCCTACGTTTTTGAATTCAGTGTTATTTTCTCCGAGACTAGTTATCACCCAAGGCTATAGAACCCAGTCTATCCTGTTGGAGGGAGAAGAAGAGCATTCATACTTTTCCCAAGGGTAGTTGCAAGTAAGTGAATGTAATGGAATTCGATCTCGGCTCTTGGTTTTACTCAATCCGAGCCGCTATCCATTACTCCATCGTGAAAGAACCCACACAAAAACTACATGGACAAAAGCGGATAGTATATTACTGTTTGAGCGTTGCTACAAAACACTTTGTAGTAGTAAGTTAAGTTTAACATTTATAACTCTGCAGGCTTCCATATCCGCTGGCGATGCTCTTTCTCAATATTCTCCGGGCGGATATATTCGTCAAGTGACAGAGATTCGTTTCAAAGGGAAAATACGTTTCTAAAAATAACCTCTTACACCGGAATTAACGTCATTAAGTTTATGATATGAACTGTGAACGATCGGTTGTCAGCCATTTTGTCCTAATTGAAATAGTTGTTTTATCAGCGAATTTTAATAAAGTGTTGTAAAGGTTTATAAATAGGTAAAACTATTTCCTAAATCCCCTAAAATGTATCACATACTTATCATCTCCTTAACGCCCCAATTAACATTAACAATGGAATTATTAAGGAAAGGTGAATCAGCTAACTTCGTTTCTGAAACTTCGTCAAGCAAGACCAAATATCAAATACTCTGTACTAACACGAAGGACAATCCTACACGCACTCACCAAACTTCCCGACCACTTACCGCTCAGTAAAAGGGGCTTTGAAATCAGTTCTTTCTACCCTCTTTCTAAGCGGGACAGGATGGTCCACTCCACACTAACCACTAATCGAGGACGCCTATCTACTGCATGCTCATGTACTGAGATAAGTGCTGCGCCTCTAAGTGTCGGGTAGGAGCTAAGGTATAATCATCACCACCCGACCGGAATATCTAAGAATCGGAAAGGATATAAAATCAAATTATAATAAAAAAAAAAAAAAAAACGGCATCAGCGAATCAGGTTCGAATTCCACTTGAGACTACGAGATTATCGTATTTCGGAAAGGCACGAGCCGAATATTCCCTATTCTCCATCATTCCAACTCCAGCTCTTTTGGCCTTGGACTTATCGGCACTTCATCATGGGAGATACTGAAAACGGTAAATGTAAGAGCATGTAGGCAACTGAATTTTATCTCATTATTTCGCCTACCAGCCAGTGGAAGTAAAAAGACTGCTTTAGCCATTGACAGTTATGACTGATGGATTTCGTTGATATATAATCTTCACTCCCTCATTGTAGAGAGACGGTGATATTTGTCACCGAAAGCGGGAAAAGTTTTGTTGTTGATGTTGTTGTTGCTGTTGTTTAGAGCCCAGTTATGCCCCGCCCCTGCTTTGCGTTCTTGGCTCCCTACCACGTTAATATCGATGTGTGGGGTGGCATCTTTGTCGCTAATGGCTTCCTGCATTTCTTGCTTCATTCAAACGTTAAGGACTCTCTTCCACGTTGATAGAATCAGCGCGCCCTTCCGGGGGCGAAACCAGAATCTTTTGTTAAGAGGAGGACAGGTGCGAATCGAGGTCACTACACCACTATCTGTATGTATCAAACACACACACGCGCGCGCGCGCGCATGTACAAAGAATGTGCGTACTTTATTTATTGGGCGTATTTATTTATATGTATACAAAATCTAAATAGAAAATATATTAATATATATATATATATATATATATATATATATATATATATATATATATATATAATAAAAGCTTAAACACCATGGAATATTAGTGTTTAAGCCTTTTTATTATATCCTTACTCTGTCCCGGACATTGAGTTCTACCTGGATTCTGTCCTCTTGGAATTATTTTTTATACAAATATATATGTATGTGTATGTATGTATATATATATCTATATATTTTAGATATATGATTGCATATGTATGTGTATATTTACCACTAATATTATCTATCTATATATACATATATATATATATTGTGTGTGTGTGTGTCTGTGTGTGTGTGTCTGAGTGTATTTATAGAGTCAGGGCAACTATACGTATAGCAATATATTGAGTGTGTGTGTGTGTGTGCGTGTGTTTGTATATATATATATATCTATATATATATATATATATATATATATATATATATAACGGGTCGTATTGAGGAATCGGAGAGCCGAGTTCGAATTTCAGTCAAATTCATTACATTCACTTAGATGCTAATACCTTTGGGAAAGATATTAATCTTCTTCTTTTCGCCCACCCCCTCCAGCTATGGGTAAATAACCGGACAGACTGAGTTTTGTAGCCTTGCGTAACAGCCAGACTGGGTTCTATAGCCTTGGGTGGCAGCCGGTCTAGGAGAAGGACAACTCTGAATTCAAAACTTGCGGAGGCTTGTTCGTTCTCTCTATTCGTCTCTTCCAAAAAGTATGTTTGGTTCTGCACATGTCTTTACCACAGATATAGATAGATAGATAGATAGATAGATAGATAGATAGATAGATATAGTCAAGTTTAAAATATCATTTTTAGCAGTTTCAATTATGGGTGACTCATTCTAGGTGACCAAAACGTTACTTATTTTTTGCGTTGGTATCTATATATATATATATATATGTGTGTGTTTTTAAGAGGGAGATAGCAAAAGAGAAAGGTTGTTTTGTTTTATGGCATATCAAAACATCAGTGGGTCATTTAATGCCAACAACATTTTGAAATAGATTCATAGCGATAGTCTGATAATAATAAAAAAAAAAGTGTGTATGTATATATATATATTTGAAACATTTTTCAAATACTCATATTTTTGAGGTTTTTCAAAAATCTATTGCTGGTAATTTTTTTTTTTTTTTCAAAAAAGCATTGCTGGTATTTTCAAAAAAATATATTTGTATTTCTGAGATGAGTTATTATGTACACTATTTACATTATTCGGACTATTGTCCTCATTTTTGTCACCATATTTATTACAACGTTTCGGCCGTTGTACGCTCTGGCCTTCTTCAGGTGGTTGGAATGTCGAACTGAACCCTTTATTTCACTCACTGGAGTAAACTGTTGCAGTTCAACGTGCAATGTTTAATGGATGTCAGTTATCAGTTAATTCCCCTCTCCAAATTCCCCACTGTCTTCACCGGGTATTGAACTCACACTTTTTGCATCCTGTCACTGGATTTTTAACTAACGTCTTTATCTACTGTGCCACTGAGGACATCTGTGTATGAATTTCTGAGTATTATAAGCATATTGTTTTCAGCAACCATTTTTTACCAGTGCTAATATTTCAATTTTTTCCTCTTATCATCGCGTGTTTTTACCATATTGCAATTTTTGTTGTTATTATCGTTTTTCTATGGCACTGGTTCCCATATTGTATTCATTTCTATGCTTGGCAATTTTTTTTTTTTTTTTTTTTCAAAAAATTTATTGTTGGTATTTTTTTTTTCAAAAAATGTATTGCTGGTAATATTTTTTTACAGAGTATTTTCTGGTGTTAAAACCTATTTTCACAATTTAACCCTAGTTTGGGGGTTAACTATTTACCCATAGCTGGGACCCTAACATGTACTACCACCCCGAGTCAGGGTGGACCTGGGAACACCAGCAATTAAGAGGTGGTTCCACGCTCCTCAAAACCTCCTGATCAGAGGCCTTGCTGTTGGACGGAGTTTATCGTCATACCCAGTACGCCAAAAGAGAAAGGGAGCGATGGGTGTGTGTACTTGAACGTGTGTTGGAGTGTTATTGTCCCTCAAACCTCTGCCAAATATGAGCACTGTCGGCGTGCAAGAGAAAGGCGCGCAATTTTGGAAATGGTCACAACCACCCACTTCAAGTGTCGCAAACTGCTCCAAACTTGGCGCGCTCAGACCTTATGTTCCGAATCCTCCGCTGATAAATTACGATCGATCCGCCTATGGATTGTGGAACCAACTTCGGTTTCACTGGTGAATTGCAAAACTAAGTCTTTTTCGGACCCCAAGGACAACCATGAAGAGTGTGCATGATTAACGATTAGGTGTCTGCTTGTTTAGTACGAGACAGCAAACGGATAGCGGCTCGGATTGAGGAATCGGAGAGCCGAGTTCGAATTTCAGTCGTATCCATTACATTCACTTACGTGCTAATATCATCAGAAAAAAAATATGAATCCTCTTCTTCTCCACACCCCAGCTATGGGTAAAATAGCAGGACATACTGGGTTTTGTAGCCTTGCGTGGCAACCAGTCTAGGAGAACGCAACTCTGAATTTAAAACTGTATGTAGTCCTGGCGTAGCAGGCACTATACAGCTAAAGTAGGGATCGGTTGCATTGGATCGATGATCCAGACTACGATCGAATGATGATGATGCTGATGATGTGTGTCATTGTGAGGAGAGTGAAGAGGATTCGGAAAGAGTTGGATGAGTCTAATATATATATATTTGTGTGTGTGTGTGTGTGTGTGTGTGTGTGTGTGTGTGTGGTGGCCTGACGATTGCGTCTAGCATGAAACAGACTGTCTTATATATATATCAGTATTCATATTAATTCATTCGCTATCTCTATTCACATATACATGCATATATATATATATATATATATATATATATATATATATGAGTGTGTGTGTTCAGATCTATCTATCTAATCTATATCTATTTAATTCTGTTCATATCTGTCTCTCATTCTCTTCATATCTATATATATCTATGTCACTCTATTGAAATAAATATTTATTTCTGTTCAGATGTATCTATATATGTATCTCCTATCTATATCTATCTATCTATCTATCTATCATAGTCTATTTACATCTATTTTTATAGAGTGCCATTTTATATTTTTAATTTCACGCATGCGCTTTGCTTATAATTTTGTCAACTGCACAGTAGAGTAAGATCAGTTGGGCACCGTCCTTGAGAAAAATTGTACCATGTAACTTCACTCCGCCATAAATTTGGAAACGTCATGTCGTATTGCTTTGCCTTCGTACCGGAAGCTCCATTACGAATATTTTAGAATGTTTTGGTGTCATTGGCATAATAGAGTAATGGTTAGCGGCTTGGACAGGGGAGAGCTGAGTTCGAATTCTAGTCGGATCAATTACATTCACTTACGTGTTAAGAAAGGTTTGAATTCTCTTCTGCTCGCCCACCCCCAAAATAAATGAGTAAATAGCCTTGGTTGGCAACCGGTCTAGGAGAAATTAACTCTGAATTCAAAACTGTATGTAGCCCCGGCGTAGCACATACTATGCAGATAAAGAAGGGATCGTTTGCATGGGCTCGAAAATCGACATGGATGGATGGATGGTAATCCAGATATATCAGACCTTATTTTCCCAATGATTATATTGGCCGAGTGGTTAGAACGTTCGCATTCTGACCATGAGATCCGGGTTCGAATCTCACCATGGCCGATTGTCAGGAAGGAGTCTTCCGGATGTTATCAGGAGGGGGTCGATCCCTGTATGCGGCACCTTTGGAAAGTACCTGAAAAACCATACCACGGGTTGACCCAAATGAAGACATTGGCGAGACACCCAGCTAGATGACAAACATAGCGTGTCAAAGGGGCGGACGAAGTTTTTTGTGGGATCAATGGACATCGAGACCAATGGGCTAGACGGCGCTCCATGGCTACTTTCGCAGCCAGTGCGGCTATGACATATCATCATTAGGTGGAAAGTTTCCAAGAAGTCAACGGCTGGGGCAGATGTTCACCCGATGGAATCAATGGCCACTTGTCCATGAGCAAGGTGAACTTTCAAATTAGAGCACATCGGCTGTAGTCTGAAATAGAGAAAGATGATCCCCGCCACGTCTCCTTTTCTCAAATCACGCTTCACATGAATGAATGAATACATTCCCAGTTTTCAATCCTGATATGTGGTGGAAACTGGTCATGTGTTCATCTGCACAATGACGCTACAACATCACCCTAACATGTGGCATGGTGACGACGATAGTATATCTGCATCCTCATCGAACAGAATTATGTAGACTAAATGCATGGTTGCTAGTAAAAGTGACAGCCCAACATGCACATTACAGACTGAAGATGTCAAAATCAAACAGATGCAACAATTTAGATATCTGAGAAGTGTATTAACGAAGGGTGGGGGTCGAAACTACGGCACGGAAATCCGAAAGACACATTGAGATAGCGAAAGAGGCCCTCCAAAAGCTGAGCAAAGTATTCTTCGTCTTTTTGTGCCGTGTTCCTTCAGGATGTAGATGATCGTGGCTCTCCACAACGTCCTGTCCTTTGTAGCTCTTAATAAACTTTGTCTTTCTCCCAAGCCCTTTTCCGCTATCCATTTACTTAATGAACTACATTAAGTAGGTCATGCGTTTTCTTACCCTGTCCTTCTTACCCCCATCTGTCCTGTGAGTATCGAATTTTCCAAGCCTTCCTTCCTCATTATGTGTCCTAGAAACCTCAACTGTCTCTTCCTGGTGTTAACCATTAGTTTCCTTTTTAGTTCCCTTTTCTCCAAAACTTCGTCGTTGCTCAAATGTTCGGTCCATGGTATCCTCAGCATCCTTCTGTAGAACTGCATTTCTGTTGCTTCAAGTCTCTTCATCTTTGAGGAGATCGTCCAACACTCAGTGCCATACAGGAGAATGATATCACATAGCAGTTTTGTACTCTTTTCTTTGCGTCTAGCGAAATTTTCCTGTTTCTTAATACTCTGCTTAGCTTTTGGAAGGCATCTTTGGCTATCCCAATACGCCTTTGGAATTCAGTGTCGCTCTTTCCGCCCTCTGTTAAAACATTTCCTAGATATTTAATTATATTGTTTGATTTTGGTACCTCCGATTTACGGTTCACGCTTTGGGTTCATTAAGCTTCTTGATTGAGTAGATGATTAACTGTGTGGTGAGTACTATTATACTAGGCACCCCACACTTTACTTCGGAATCTCCTGCAACTCTTCTGGACAGTCTCCTTGTTTAAGTTGGTAAATGCTGCCATAATCTTTGCCTTCAGATCATCTTTGATGTTAAAAGGAGTTTTGTTTGTCTCTCGCTCAGTAGAACAACATTCCTGTTGCTTCAAGTCTCTTCTTCATCTTTGAGGAAATCGTCCAGTACCCACTGTCATAGAAGAGGACTGATATCACATAGGAGTTTAGTACTCTTTTCCTTGTTTCTAGCGAAATTTTCCTGTTTCTTAATACTCTGCTTAGCTTTTGGAATGCTTCCATGGCTATCCAAATACGCCTTCGGATTTCAGTGTCACCCTTTCCATACTCTGTTAAAACACTTCCCAGATATTTTAATTTCTGCTCTTCTTTGAATTTGGTACCTCAGATTTGTAGTTCGCACTTTGGGCTCATCCTTTTGCTAACAACAATGCATTCCTCTTTCTCTCAATCTGTCCTGTGAGTGTTAGATTTTCCAAGCACTCTTTCCTCATGCGACCTAGAAATTTCAACAGTATCTTCCAGATGTTAAGTATAATTTTCCTTTTTGTTTCCATTTTCTCCAAAACGTTTTCGTTTCTCACATATTCGGTCCATGATATCCTCAGCATCCTTCTGTAGAGCCACATTTCTGTTGCTTCAAGTCTCTTTTTCATCCTTGGGGAGATTACCCAACATTCACTGCCATATAGGAAGACAGATATCACGTAACAGTTCAGTTCTCTTTTCTTTGTAACGAAGTTTTTCTGTCTTTTAGTACTCTGCTTAGCTTTTGGAAGGCATATTTGGGTATCCCAATGCGCCTTCGGATCTCAATGTCGCTCTTTCCGACCTCTGTTAAAACACTTCCCAGATATGAAACTAAGGAATATACTGGTGGAACTAAGGAATGTATTTCGTCTGAACACTTTCCATGGAAATAGACATAGATTAGCAAGAGGTTTGCGACATTTCGTCTGCGGGGAAAGTGGTTGTAGGGTGGGAAATAATTCATCACACACACAGACGCGGAGACGCTTTTGCGCTTTATCGAGACTAGAAAGTGAAGACTGGGCAGCCCTTTTAACCAGATTGTTCAATCTGTTCATGTATCTAGATGCCCAATGTTTCCCGTGTCTCGCCAAATATTCCACACATCTCTCGAAATCCCTTTACCAGAAAGTAATGAACCTATCATGTTTTCCTCTCTTTGAGAAAATCACTTCTTCTTTATGTGCCTTGTCTCTTCGGGACATAGGCGATCATGGATCTCCACAACTTCCTGTCCCTTGTAGATTTTAATAAACTTTATCTTTCTGTTATTTCTCCTAAGCCCAGTTCTGCCAACGCAAGTTTATCAAGAATGTCATGCGTTGTTTTCCTCTGTCCCTCTTGCCTTCTATCTGTCCTATGAGTATCAAATTTTCCAAGCCTTCCTTTCTCATTAAGTGTACTAGAAACCTCGACTGTCTCTTCCTGATATTAAGTTTTAGTTTTCTTTTTCTTTTCTATTTTCTCCAAAACATCGGCGTTACTCACATGTTCTGTTCACGGTAAGTTGAAAAGATAATCACACTGTGGCTGGAACCAGGAAGGTCAATTCCAACCGTTGAAAAAAATAAAGAATCATCCGACGTCCTCAGTACGTGAAATGACACCAAAGTGCTGACATTTTTAGCCAAAGCAGAATTCCGTACAGGCCTCTTTAAGAGTACAACTCCAAGTCGTTTACATTTTTTTTTAATTTCAATTTTATTTTGTAATTTTTTAAATATTACTATAGGTCTGTTCTTATTTAATTTTTTTTTCTCTGCATTCTCACTCCGAAAGTTTACATTATTACAATGAATGCTTTCATTAAGCCTCCTATTCAATTCCCACTTGTTGCAATCTATATAAAGTGCAGTGTACGTACAGGTATATGTGTATGTGTTTATGTATGCATTTCTTTGTATGTATTTGTACCTACGTATTTACCTATGTGTATGCGTACACTCTTATGCAAATTAACTGAAATAAAATGAATAATTCAGTTATTATTTATTTTTTTCGTATTTTTCCAATGGAACATGACCCAGTGCACATGTTAGTACTTCGTATGTCCATTCCACAATTTTTGTATGCTTCCTTGGAGTAACGTCTATCACAAACAATGGCTGTAGGACAATTAATCGACAGACGAGACAATAGTGTTTGGGCGTGATGAAAATCTGTGCAATCACGGATGATGAAATATTTTTCAAGGCCAAACAAATTTCATCATACACCCCAAAATTAGATTCATATTACTGCAAACCACTGCAAATGAGTTAATCTGAAGAAAAAATAGAAATCAATTCATGCCCTGTCACTCCAGTGGGTGTAAAACTGACTGTATGGTGAAAGAAAGGAAACTAAAGCTGTTGTTTCAATTAATTTGCACAAGGGTGTGTATGTGTACATGTCTACGTATGGATTTGTGTATGCATGAGCACGGTTTTATACAGCTGAGTACGTATTTGTATACTGGTTTGTGTGTTTTCATTGGGTGTTTATATATATATACATTATATATATATATATATATATATATATATATATATATATATATATATATATATATGTATGTAGTGTATGTATTTTTGTGTGTGGAGAGGTATGGATATGGATCTGTGTATGTATATGTATGTTTATATGTAGGTGGATTGCTTGTGTATATATGTCTATATATACTTATATAAATTGGTCGTTATTATAACTGCTCCTCTACCCTCTCTCTCCTCCTTTCCCTCCTGCCACCTTATCATTGCTTTTAGCCCAGTGAGCGAACAGTAACTGCCCGCCGATATAGATACGGAACATAGACAGGTTTATTGGTAGAAAGAAATCTTATGCCCACAAAAAATAATGACGAGAAACCCGTAAGAAGCTGGCGTATAGCACTGTTTTAATGACTTATTGTTTGCTTTCATCGTGATAGTTTACATTCTTATGTTATCTTAAGTTAAGACCAAAGAATACTATTAACTTGGCACTTTGTTAACATGTTCGATTTTAAATACCTCCAAAAAAGTCGGTATACCTAAGGTTTAAATGTATTTTTTATAAAGGAAACATCATTTCCGAAGCTTTCCAACCGCTTCAATTGAAAACTAAAAGATTAAAATTTTTAATTCCAGAAAGAAAAGAAAATACTGTGGAATATTTCAAATAGAAATTTGAATGATTTTTAGTCGATGCATCCGAAAAACTAATCGAAACGACCATTTTTAACTTTTTTTAGAGAAATGTAAACGAACTTTTTTTTGGGTTTTGAAAATCCCGCTAAAATAAGATACACATTTCTGAAACGTTACTTTCGTAAAATTAACAAATTTAAAGTTAAATTAATCTGTTCTGAAACAAAAATCACTTATTTATAGCATAAAATTTTCTAGACAAACATTTCTTGTCCTCGGGGTCTTGTTATTTTCATGTCTCCATCGATAATTTGATGACTGAATGTGTTGACAGGTTTAGTACGGTGCATCAAAAGTGACATAACGTTTTTTTTTGTTTCTTATAGTAATTTAAAATACTATAAAAACAACTTGTACAGTCAACAGGAATCCAATAGGTCCGACATCTGATTGGTTTATCGAAATCGCTCTCTAGTATGTTAGAAATTTAGTTTTTTCTCTTTTCCCCTTCCCGTGAGGGTATTGCTGCTTTTAAACCATGGAATGGTCATTTATTCTCCAGTAGACTACCATCGCCTGAAGAAGCACCTACAGTGCTGAAACATGATTGCATTTGTGTAACAGTTTTGTAACATGTTTTTGTTATAATTGTTCATATATATATATATATATGTTAGAACCAATAAAAATAAGTATAAATAAGCAAAAACAAGTAAGAATAATCAATCCAAATAAATAAATTAAAAACTGTCCACCCGCCAAACAGAACAGACTATGGCAAGCAATCTAAACATTGGACGAATAAATAGCTTTAATTATCTTCCCAGACCAAAACAAATTATTAAATAAGCGACCTAAGCAAATCCCCCCCCCATTTTTTGACTACATTAATAAAACATCAAAAAACGAAAAGAATAAATAAAACAAAATAAAAATGAAAAGCAAGAAAAATAAATTAAACCAAGCAAATAAATAAATAAACAAACATGCCACTCCCGCAAGATAACCGTTAGAATAGATTACCCACAATGCACCACTGACCCATATATATAAATAGCCGAGGAAATATCCACCATTTGCGGCCTGACGATTGCGTCCATCATGAAACAGGCAGTCGCCTCTGAGTGCTGACTTCAATGTTCACTTTTATATTTATATTTACATACGCTCTATCTCTGATATTGAGCACTTTATCCCATAAATGTAGCACACCTTAAAACTATATTTTTTCATATATATATATAAAATATTTTATTCAGAAATGCAGTTATCGAAGTAGCATTTTAGCAACATCGTGATTCCCCACCTGATGAAACGTTAAAAAAAAGATTTTTTAATGTTGAAACAAAATGTACAGTTTTGTAGTGTGTATGTGCATGTAAGTGAATATATATATATATATATATATATATTCATATATTTATCTTTTTTTTTCTCTATCTGTTTCTTGATTTATTTGTTGTACTACTGCCTTTGATTGTCGAATACTCATTTTTATAAATGCGCCAAGTACCGCCAGGGGGTAGGCGCTCACGGCTCTCTACACTTTCTCTTGAATATCAATAAATTCCCATGAATTCTTGAGGAATATAGGGAAGTGATTTCCAGATGCCGTCTCAAATGGTTTTCAATTCAGTGTAGTCTTTCTCCTAGACTGGTTACCACTCAAGGCTAAAAATCCAGTGTACCCTGTTATTTAACCTATATATAGGAGTAAGGTAAGAAAAGATGAATTCATACCTTCCCTAAGGTCATCAGTGCAAAGGTGAACGCAACGGGCTCGGCTGGGATTTGAACTCGGCTCGCACATGCCACTTTTTTCTTTCATGCCGATAACCGTTTCACTACCATCCCATACGTTACCGTTCCCCACCCATTGTTATACCCCATTTTAAGGCAGAGGGAGAGAAAGACGGGAAAGGGAGTGTGTTCAATTCCCACCTCACTACTCGTAGGGTACTATATTTAAGGCTTCGGTATGTAATTTTGCTATGCCACATATCTCTTGGGGTCGGGGGTTTGAAATTTGCAACGGTTGGTATAGATTGGTGCTATATTAACTGGAGTTTTAAATAAAGACAGCGGTTTGGTTAGTTGCTTGGTTGGTTGGTTGGCCGGCTGGTTGTTTCGAAGCGCGGTTACCATGTACCTACATATGTATTTAAGCTGATGAGTAAGAACTGGGGATAAATTGCGTGCTCCACGCCCCGCCCTCATTTTCAACACCTTCCCCCCAACCAATATTCTCTTTTGCTTTTTCTTTCTTTTTCCTGACGATAATAGCAAACATCTGTTCATTTACAACCGGATCTATTTCTTCATTTTCATCTATGTCTGTGTGTTACGGAAAATGCGGCATGTATTCCTTGTGTTACCTCTTTTGGTTCGGCGGGATTTCTTTTACTGAGCTTTCTTAATTTGAATGGATGCGTGATTTCTATTGAAAATGTGACATTTCTTCCGTCTCTAACCTCTTTTGGTCCGGCGGGATTTATTTTACTGAGCTTTCTTAATTTGAATGGATGCGTGATTTCTATTGAAAATGTGACATTTCTTCCGTCTCTAACCTCTTTTGGTCCGGCGGGATTTATTTTACTGATCTTTCTTAATTTGAATGGATGCGTGATTTCTATTGAAAATGTCACATTTCTTCCGTCTCTAACCTCTTTTGGTCCGGCGGGATTTATTTTACTGATCTTTCTTAATTTGAATGGATGCGTGATTTCTATTGAAAATGTGACAACTCTTCCGTCTCTAACCTCTTTTAGTCCGGCTGGATTTCATTTACGTATCTTTTTTGACAGAGATGAACATGGAATTGTTAAAGAAAATCCGGCATGTATTCCGTGTGTTACCTCTGATGGTCCGGCGGCCTTTATTTTACTGATCTTTCTTCACGTGGATGAACATGGGGATGTACGGAAAATCCGGCATGCATTCCGTGTAACCTCTTTTGGTCCGGCTGCATATCTTTTGCTGATCTTTCTTAAATTGTATGAATGTCTGATTCTATTGAATATAGAGCATTTCTTCCTTCTGTGACCCCCTTTGGCCCGGCAGAATTAAATGATCTTTACTACAGGGATGAATATTGGATTATTCCGGAAAATCCGGCATTTATTCTTTTTATAACCTCTTTTGATTTGATGGAATTTCTTTGATCTTTCTTTACAGGAAAATGTGGTACTCTTACGGAAAATCCGGCATGTATAACCTCTTTTGGCCCGGCGGGATTTATTTTACTGCTCTTTCTTAATTTGGATAAATCTGTAATTTCTATTGAAAATGGGGTAGTTCTTTCGCCCGTACCCTCCTTTGGTCCGGCGTTATTTCTTTTACTGATTTTTCTGGATAAATGTGTTATTGTTCTGGAAAATCCAGCATTTATAACGTCTATAACCTCCAGTGAGTTTTATTTTACTGATCTTGCTTTAAATGAAGAATTTCTCATTAAATGTGCTATGTTATATCAGATCAAAACAAAAGTTTGTAGTGCTTTTAAATGAATGTAAAAGATAATATTTAAATATTTGCACATAGATTTCTTCAATTTTGTTCCTCTTGCCATCTCAACCTTTGATGCAACTTCGTGATTCCTTCCTCTCAGAACTTGGTATCTTTCTTGGTGATGAACTGACCTAAGTGGTTTTTACAGGCTTCCAGAGAATTGAATTTCTTGCTGTTAAAAATAATTTTGTAGGGAGCAAAACAAAAGGTAATCCGAAGACTGTTTGGGTTGCTCCAAGTTCTCCAATAATGATTGGCACTACTGAATGTGCAAATTAACTGAAACAAAACAAATAATTCCGTTATTATTTACTTTTTTTCGAATTCCACAATGAAACATGGCACAGTACACATGTTAGTATTTCATATGTTCATTACACAAAGTCGTTACTTGTAGATTGACCACAGATTCTCAACTGGATTTAAATCAGGAGAGTTTCCAAGCCAATCTATAGTGCTTTCATTTGCTCACTGGTAAGGCTTGTCAGTGTGTTCATCCTGTGTTACAATTTTTGTATGCTTCCTTGGAATAACATCCATCACAAACAATGGCTGTAGGACAACTAATCAACAGTCAAGACAATAGTGTTTGGGTGTGATGAAAATCTGTGCAGTCATCGATGATGCAATATTTTTCAAGGCCAAACAAATTTCATCATACACCCCAAAATTAGATTCATATTACTGCACACCACTGCAAATGAGTTAATCTGAAGAAAAAATAGAAATCAATTCAAGCCCTGTCACTCCAGAGGGTGTAAAACTGACTGTATGGTGAAAGAAAGGAAACTAAAGTGGTTGTTTCAATTAATTTGCACAAGGGTGTGTATGTGTACATGTCTACGTATGGATTTGTGTATGCATGGGCATGGTTTTATACAGCTGAGTACGTATTTGTATATTGGTTTGTGTTTGTTTTGATTGGGTGTTTATGTGTGTGTATATATATATATATATATATATATATGTGTATGCATGTGTAGCCATGTATTTGTGTGTGGAGTGGTGTGGATATGGATCTGTGTATGTATATGTATGTTTATATGTAGGTGGATTGCTTGTGTATATATGTCTATGTATACTTATATAAATTGGTCATTATTATAACTGCTCCTCTACCCTCTCTCCTTCTTTCCCTCCTGCCACCTTATCATTGCTTTTAGCCCAGTGAGCGAACAGTAACTGCCCGCCGATATAGATACGGAACATAGACAGGTTTATTGGTAGAAAGAAATCTTATGCCCACAAAAAATAATGACGAGAAGCCCATAAGAAGCTGGCGTATAGCACCGTTTTAATGACTTATCGTTTGCTTTCATTGTGATAGTTTACATTCTTATGTTATCTTATTGAGTTAAGACCAAAGAATACTATCAACTTGACACTTTGTTAACATGTTTGATTTTAAATAGGTACCTCCAAAACATTTGTATACCTAAGGTTTAAATGTATTTTTCATAAAATATAATGGTTCCCATCTACCCAACCACCCTGTAGGCTGGAGCTACAGAGTGGTAAGAGGCCCTCCCCACAATGAAACACCTGCATGACAGAAATACTACAAAGACGCCAACACAAGAAATCTATTTGAAAATAAGTTCATCATCATAATGTCCTACCTTAAAGACATAGGTTTATACTAAAACATATAACACCTACAACAGATCATCTACAAACTATATATCTATAAAACATCTGTTTACCCTGAAAATATAAAATTATGTACAAAATATCAGTATTTGAAGGCATAAAATTACATTCAAAATAGATGTTGTTGAAACCATAAAAATGCATACAGAATATTTAGATTTCAGCATTAAATAACCCATAGAGGTGTTGATATGCCACTAAACTAAAACAACCAAACCAAACCATCGACTCAATAACTATTAGGATAAAACAATAAACCAGAAATACCTTACCTTGCTACCCATAATGCATCATTGCCCAGCATATATAAATAGTCATGCCACCACACAAAACACGTGGCCTGAAAATTGTGTTCAAGCATGAAACACTGTTGCTGTTGACCTCACTGTCCACTTTTATATTTACCAATACTCTATCCCTGATATTTTTACTTTTACCCATAAATATAGTATCCTAAAAAACTATATTTTTATCATATATTGGAGGAGTGCAGACCTTGATCCTCATTGGGTGTCCAACGTTTGTGGTCTTGTGTCAGACACTGTTGCTCAACTCCAGAGAAGATAGGTTAACAAGCACTTTGATGGACTGCTCGCCCATGACTATTCCACATGTCCGAGTAGTCGTAATAAAAAACTGTTACTTTGACAGGCTCAAATGAACTTACTTACAAATGTCTATTTTTGTTATTTCAGCTGAACGCAAGGAGAGAATTCAACAGAACAATCTTTATCCAAATCAACATGACCCTGAAGGGGGAGGTAGGTTGTTAATCTTTCTCATCTGTTAATTGGTTCTTTAATAAAAGTGTTTTGGGAAATATGAACTGATTCCAATTGTTTATGCACGAAGCAATAATACTTCCAGATAGGAAATATGTTGAAATAATAAGTAAAAAAAAAAACAACTAATGAACAAAAATTTCACTAAAGAAATAAAAGAAATTATGGCAAAATTTAATGTTTGTACCGACAAAAAGAAAAAAAAACAATGTGTCTAAGGGATGTTTTTTCTTGTGACACAACTATAACTGCACGAAATCCAATCGAAAACTATCAAGACTTTTGCTATGGTAACAGAGCTAAAATATGCAGAGAGAAGCCGCTTGGCACAGATTGACTTTGCACTCTGTCTTGCATACATGCTAAGTTATAACATTTCTGCTTGCTTCTGTTGTTTATAGCAGTGATTGGAAGGGAAGTGTGTAGAGTGTGGTCGGCTCACCACACCACAGAGGTTTCATCAGTAACCATGGCTTGGATAGCAGTTTTTGATTGGGAACAACATTCCTCGGCTTCAACAACCATCAATATTCCCCAAATCACACCCCTTGCAACTTTTCCTTCTTCAAAAATCAAATCCCACCTAAACAAGATTTCAAGATGTTGAAGAAAACCAAGAGAATGTGACAAGGCAGCTGCTTACTATCCCAGAAGAGGATTTTCAGGAATACTTTCATCAATAGAATTGACGCTGGATAAAGTGTGTGGTTTCAGAAGGGAACTACTTCAAAGGAGATTAAGTGCTGAACTGATATGTGTTGTAGTTTTCTTTTTATAGTACCAGTCCTGAGATGTTTTGATCAAACCTCATATACTACCTCTCAGCAATATATATTCTTTTTTTTAATCATTTCACCCCAAGCAAGGCAATAGAGCCACTAAGACATAAGGGGTTCTGAATGATAGAATATATGAGAAAAAAAGGGTATAAACACGTAAGTAAATGTAATAAACTCAACTGGAATTCAAACTATTAGACGGTTTGTTCACAAGAACAGTTTTTTTCATTTACAAAATTATAAAAATATGTGAACCAACTCCAAAAAAAAAAAAGGAGTCAGCCATAGTTGAGATCATCCTTTCCTTAGTTGCAAAGTACGTGCTTCTCCAGGGCTACATACAGTTTTGAATTTAGAGTTTTTTTTTCTCCTAGACTGGTTGCCACCCAAGGCTATAGAGTCCAGTCTGCCATACTATTTACCCATAACTGGTGGGAGAAGAGTTGGATTCATACCTTTCTCAAGGGTATGCTACAGTTACCGGGAAATTACTTGTAGAAAAGATGTTCTTTCCCTCTGTCTTTTCTACAAGTACTTTCACAGTAACTGCTTGGATGAGCTATTTTCGCTAGTTCCCAAGCTGCATGAATTTAAGCGTGTTACTAGGTTAGCATGTCAGTCCCACCCTTTCACTGCCAAAACAGTTAAATGTAGCTGTCTCTTCTACTCCAATAGCTTCAAGTCTTGCACTTCCCGTCTGTAGAACTCCCTTCCTCTTACTTGCTTCCGTGACTTTTATAGTCTTCAAATATTCAAATGTAATGTCAATCGACATCTTCTGATGCCTTGATCAAATTCCCAGTCCTTCTCTTTATCCTTTCCTCAATCACGTCTCTTTACTTTTGCTCCCATTCTCTGTAACCCCTTACATGCTAATGGCACTCACATCTTGCTCGAGGTCAAAAGCTTAAAAAAAAATGGAATCATTTTTTCTAGCAGCAGACCCAGCAAATGATTTAATATATTTCAATTTCATGCTAGCAGGAAACGTTAATCCGACAAGGCGCAATGAGTCTCTCTCTTGGAGGTTAGCATCATTATTTAGAAGAAGAATTTTATTTTGACAAGATTATAAAAATATGTGAACCAACTTCGTCTTTTACATGCCATGTCCCTTAGCCATAGAGATGGATTCATGCCTTTCTAAATGGTACGAGCACGTAAGTGAATGTAATAAACTGAACTGGAATTCAAACTCGTCTCTCCGATTCCTCAATCCAATCCGCAGTCCATTACTCTACCATACTAACTATGAAGCAATATTTACTATTTACCATATTATAAGGAAATGACTCTGAAAACCATTTTGTTTTTGTTAATAAATTTGTAAAAATATCTGAAGAAAGGACAAGAAAATAACAAATAATTACCAGGAAAAATAATTATAAATTTAAAAAGAAATATTTTCCAGGCATTTCTTTCTTTTTGTCTCCCCACATTAATTCATTAAAATCGGTTACGAGCATCTGGATTTATACATTTATTTTTTCTCAAGAACTGCCAGCAAAAATGTTAAACATTATTCATTTATTAGACTGTTGTCAAGAACATATACTTTTTATTTATTAGACTTACTTAGAAGAATAGCATTTAATACTTTTGTCTTCAATTCTTGAGGAAAACAAGAAAGCATGAATCATATATTTAGGTTTTATTAAAATTCTAAAAATAGCCTTTTAAAACAATCAAAATTGCCAAGGGAGTATGCCCTAATCATGATGTCAGGAAAAAAACTGTTATTTTGACATAAAGTCTTTTTTGTAGGTACATATGTTAAACTTTGCCAAATTTTTTTAACATCCAACTGGTTTTCATGTATTCCATTTTTACATGTTGCAGTGTTTCAAGTAAAACTTTCATTCGATGTTAACCCTGTGGTCAGATAAGTGCTTAAAAATGGATTATGTACATTAGTCTGTCAAGATGCAATGAGTCACTTGCATGGAGGTTAGCATCATCATTTACAAGAACAATTTTGTTTTTACTAGAATCTTCCAGATGTCTCAGTTATCTCCCTTTAACTCAACTCTCCAATGTAGTAAGCAGGTATTGAACTCATAACTCTTTGGGTCAAGTCACTGGATCCAACCAATTTTTTTAATCCACTGGGCCATGTGATCCTTGAAGACATCAGTGCATGAATTTTTGAGACTTATAAACTTAATGTCTCAGCAATCATTTTTTACCAGAGCTCATATTGCAATTTTGTTGTTATTATTGCTTTTCTCTCACACTCCGTATTACTGGTTCCCATACTGTATTCATTTCTATGCTTGGTCGGCTTAGCAGATTTTTATGACACATGGAACTAGAACAATCTACCCAAGTGGACGAAATAAAAGGGTTCAGTTTGAAATTCCAATCACCTGAAGAAGGCTAGGGTATACAACGGCCAAAACGTTGTGAATATGGCAATGAAGATGAGGATAACAGTTCAAATAATGTAAATAATGTAAGTAATCTTAATACCTCATCTCAGAGATATGGACAGATATTCTTGTCTGTCTATTTTTCTGAGGCGTACAATGGCCAAAACATTGTAAACATGGCAATAACCATGAGGACAACATCCTAAACAATGTAAATAATTCAACTTGTTTTCACATATTCCATTTTTACAGAAAGCTTACACAAAATTTCTGCCAAAAAGGTAGAGGTGTGTAAAGTAAAACGAATGATGTGCTAACCAATGGAACACTGGCAATACCTCATGATATTACCAGATTTGTTTTATTGCTTCCACCCAATTTTGAAGTTGCTTTATAAGTTTCTCTTTTTCTACCAATAATTGTACTTTTTTCTTCTCTTTTTTTGTTTTCTGCAGCCGAGCCAAAGTTTATTCATTTGAACAAAATGAAACAGAACAAAATTCCACGACCGGTTGGCAGTTCGATCCGATTCAAATGCAAAGCCACTGGAATTCCACAACCAGAGGTGCGGTGGTTAAAAGATGGTCAGATCTGGGTGTCCGAAGATGTCGGCAGCTACCAGGACAGTCGGCTGAGGTGGACACTAAAGATCAATGACCTACAAGAAAAGGATAGTGGCAAATATACTTGTATCGTGACCAACCTTCATGGCAGTATTAACTATACGTATACGTTGGAAGTTGTAGGTAAGGACTAAAAAAATTATTCAGCTTGGAGACTTTACTGCCTCAAACACACACACACATACACACACACAAACTCACACACATTTATATATGTCTATATTTTTGAGATGAGGTATTATGTACACTATTTACATAATTTGGACTATTGTTCTCATCTTTGTCGCCATATTTATTACAACATTTCAGCTGTTGTATGCTGCGGCCTTCTCAAGGACACATGGCACAGTGGATAAAAGTGTTAGTTAGATCCAAAGAGTGTGAGTTCAATACCCGGTTAAAGCAATGGAGAACTTTCAGAGGGGAATTAACAGGAGATAATTGATAACTGACATCCATTAAACATGGCACGTGAAATTAGAACAGTCTACCCCAGTGAGCGAAATAAAAGGTTCAGTTCGACATTCCAACCACCTGAAGAAGGCAGGAGCATGCAACAGCTGAAACATTGTAATAAATATGGTGACAAAGATGAGGACAATAATCCAAATAATGTAAATAGTGTATATATATATATATATATATATATATATATATATATATATATATACACAGGTTGTGATGATTAAATTGTCACTATTTTATATTCTTAATTTCACGTATGCACATTGTTTTCAATTTTGTCAGCTGCATGATATAATAGGGTCAGCTGGGCCCCGTCTGTGAGAAAAAGAGGCACCAGGATGCAATTCACTCCACCAGAAATTTGGAAACAGCATGCTGTAATGCTTGGCATTTGTGCTGGAAGCTCCTATACAAACATTTCAGAGTGTTTGGGTGTCGATCTGAGGACAGTGCAGAGGATTTGGAAAGGGTTGGATAAGTCTATTGGTGATTACGAATGTACAGCAGCTCGGAAAAATCACTCTGATCATTCTGATAAGAATTTGGAGGCCTATCACAAATAGCTTCAGGAGATAATGCTTCCCTGGGTCAAGAGGGTGGCTGCTAAAATACCCTGTGTATGGCAACAAAACTCTGCACTATACCACTCAAGCAGAAGAACCCAGTGATGGCTGTCAATTTCTGCAGTACATCCCCTATTACATCAGGCCACCTAACTCCCCAGACTGCAACCCCCTTGATTATTATGTGTGGGGTGTAGTTGAGTGAGAGATCAACAAAACTCCTTGTAATGCCAAAGATGAACTGAAGGCAAGGATTATGGAAGCATTCACCAATTTAAACAAGGAGACCGTCCAGAAGAGTTGCAGGAGATTCCAGAGTTGTCTGGAGGCCATGGTTGAAGCCAATGGTGATTTTATTGAATAAATTTACTCTTTAGTATTTCAAGATATTTTTGTGTAATTTTGATAAATATATCTGTTAAAATGAGATGTCAGTGTTATTTTCATTTTTATGTAATTTAGATAACAATTTATCCATCGCACACTCTGTGTGTACATATATATATATATATATATATATATATATATATATATATAAGGAAAGGGATTGATTTTTTTATTTATTAATCCTGGAAGGATCGAACCTGTGTTCCCCTGCTTCAGGGAAACTGTTATTGATCTGATGTGCTTTGATCTTTAAAGGGACTATTTGATTTTGTGTGGTCATCGCCATACTCTGCAGCTGAGAGGTCAGAGTACATCAACATCAGTTCTAATGACATTTTTCTCTATGGGAAGACAGGCTTGAATCTTGCCAGAGAATGCATATTTTTCTCTAATAAGATTTCTGAAATATTCAGGCCAATATGCAAAAATATATAGATATACTGTTTAATAAATAAACAGAGTATAGTAGTCTATTTGTTTTTCTTGCCTCATGTCAAACGTTGGGGTTACCATACATAGTAGTATGTTAATGAGAATTGACCTTTTGTAGATGTCTGTTTATGGCTGCTTAAATAACATGACCACACAATTTATATTTAATGTAAAATACCACAAAACATGAAATACAAGAAGGAACAAAATGGTTTTAAAATAATAACATTTGTATTTGTTTGTTGATGTACATGCAATAAAGTTCTGTTGGTGTTATGTCCCTTAGAATGTGAATATTTTTATCTGAACTCACAAAAGTTGAATTAATTACAAAATTGAGAAATGCTGAATAAACTGTAGCTTTAGAAGAATATTTCAAAGAGAAAAGTTCTTGTTGCTTGTTTGGAAATGTTCTATATGTTTGTAATGTAGGTTGGAAAATTTCGTGCATGCGTGAATCTGCTTTTAATGTCTGACCACCCATGGTCTAGACGAGAATACTTGTCACATCTTCGCTGAAGGGAAGAGTAGAGAAGAAAAGAAAGCAGCAAGCTTGTGTCTGCTATTTATAATTAATGTAATCATGTGATAGGCTCACAGAAAATGGCGGGAAAACTTTACTTGGTCAAGCACTGGAAAAATATTTGTATGTGGGTGGATTGCAATGCACACTTGTGTGTTTATTGACCAATTAGAAGCTGATATTTCCTGAAAATATTTACTAAGCTGAGTAGGCTCTCTGATCCACTTTTTGCACAGATTTGTATAAAATTCAACATTGATAAGAAAGTGGTAGTGGGATGCTACAAGAGCATCTACTCAAATATGTGTATCCACTGAAAATAACATTTAAAGTGATAAAAATATGTTGGATTAATAAATAGAAATCTCCATTATTCATGCCAGTAGACAAAAATAGAGAAATATAATCTTACTTATTATAAAATGCAGATTGTGTGTGTGTGTGTCTGTACGTTTATATATTGGATCGGATTTCCTACATTTTTCAACCAATTTCAACAAAACTTCACAGGACTGCATAAAATTACCTTGCGGTGGTTCTGACAGCACCAAAAATTGGAAAAGCACAATTGTCACCAGAATGAAAGAGGGACAACTCATATCAAGTTATACTTATAAAACCCAGGTTGTTTGTGTGTGTTCATTTATATATGGGATTGGATTTCCTACATTTTTCAACCGATTTCAACAAAACTTCACTTTTTTTTTTTTTGGTAGTGTTTCTTATTGTCTTGCACACTTTTTTTTCTTTTTTTTTTTACATTCAGAATTCTTTAAAAATTCCATTTACAAGGCAATTGTTTATAATAAAATTCTATTCAATCGATAGACTCATAACGATTGAAAACAATGTTTTTGTTTGAGTTTGGGTTTGACCAATTCATAAAAAAAAACAAAAAACTAATTAAGACATGCGTGTTCATCAAACTTAAACAATAATCTTTGTCAATTTTATTTTTCAGTCTTTATGATGGTCAATACTTGATCTATCTCTTACTGTTACATCCCTGGGCAACGCCGGGCTCTACTGCTAGTGTTTAATAAATAAACGAAGCATCTATTCAAATATGAGTAACTATTGAAAATAACATTTAATGTGATTAAAATCTGTTGGACTGATACATAAAAAAATCAGGCTGTTTAATAAATGAACAAAGCATCTACTCAAATATAAGTATCTACTGAAAATAACATTAAAAGTGATTAAAATATGTCAGACTGATAAATGTATCTTAAATGTATTTTTTATGACATAAAATTTAGTGAGGCACAAGCGAATTTTAATTCCGAAAATATGACCCAGAGAGAAAACGTTTGGGAACCACCAGTATTCTGGTAAATCACTTAACTAGCATCAACATGCCACACTAATACTAGATTGGTGATTGTACCTATGTACTTTTGCTTGTGGTTTCATATTAACCAAAAATGGTATAGGAATTTATTCCAATGTTCTCTGTTCTTTTTCAGAAAAAGTCCATGACAAACCAGAATTCTTGCCACCACATCCACTTAATCAAACAGTTCGACATGGCCAACAAGCTTCATTTCAATGCCATGTGAAAAGTGATGCCCAGCCCCACATAACGGTAAATAAAATAGCTTTCTTCTTTCAGTCAGATATTGGGGCATATCAAAAGTATTTTCATTTTTTTACAAACTTTTGCACCAACACTTATTTCATATACACATCTAAAGACAATCTATGACACCACTATTATTATTAATATTATTATGATTATAATTTTGAGTGTATCAAAAGTATTTTCATTTTTTTTACACTCCTTTATTCCAAAGCTTATTTCATGTACACATCTAAAGATTGTCTATGACTCCATTATTGTTATTAAAGTGTATCAAAACTATCTACATTTTTTACAGCCCTTTATTCCAAAATTTATTTCATGTAGACATCTAAAGACTGTCTATGACTCCACTATACTATTAATATTATTATCATATATTAGGGTGTATCAAAAGTATTTTCATTTTTTACAAACCTTTACGCCAACACTTATTTCATATACACATCTAAAGGCAATCTATGACAACACTATTATTATTAATATTATTGTTATTAATATTATTATGATTATAAGTTTGAGTGTATCAAAAGTATTTTCAATTTTTTTACAGGCCTTTACTCCAAATCTTATTTCATCTACACAACTAAAGATTGTCTATGACTCCATTATTATTATTATTATTAGAGTGTATCAAAAATATTTTCATTTCTTACAGCTCTTTACTTCAAAACTTATTTCAAGTAATGTAGACCAGCCATGACCGCACCATGCTATACATAATATTATTGTATATTAGAGTGTATCAAAAGTATCTTCATTTTTCTTATATACATCTAAAAATTATCATTTAATATTATTAGTATCTATTAGTATCTACATTTTTTACAGCCCTTTATTCGAAAACTTATTTCATGTAGCCGCCTAAAGACTCCACTATATTTTTAATATTATTATTGTATATTAGGGTGTATCAAAAGAATTTTTATTTTTATTGATCTTTAAGCTTACAGCCATATCACTAAAGTTAAGCAACATCGAGCCTGGCCAGTAATGAGATGGGTGACTGCTTGGGAATACCAAGTGCTGTAAGCTTGGATGTGCGTGTAATGGATAACGGCTCAAGTTTGAATTCTGATTGGGTTTGTTACATTCCCTTATGTGCAAATATGTTTGTGAATGGTATGAATCCACCTCTCCCAAATCAACTGAATCCCACATAGGCCAACTAGAATTGTGAATTATACACACGACCACTGCTTGACAGGACAGATACATGTGAGGTCTGCTTAACCAATAGAAAATATAGAACATAAAAATACCAGAATTTTCTTTTCTCAGTCATATTTCATTTTCTGATGAAGCTTAAATAAAAGCAAAATATGTTTAGTTCATAAATATTTCCTATTTTCTCCTCATATGTATATATACATATGTTTTAAGATATTTATATGTTTATACATTCTTTTTATAGATACAAATATTTAAGTAAATGCTCTGTTTATAATAAACAACATTTACTGGCCTGAATGTCCGAGAAATTTTCATAGAAAATATGCGTCCTCCGACAGGAATCGAACCTGTATCCTATATGGAACCGTCATATAGCCTGATGTGCTTTTACTGATTGAGCCACAGAGGAGCGTTTCAGTTAGCAAGATTGATTTTACTGTTTTTAAACCACAATTCACCATGATTTTCTATCATACATTCATATCTGCTCAATGTGTATCCAAATGTAAGCAAATGACGTCACACATTATGAATTATATTAAAACATTTTTTATGTTTATATGTTCTTTTTATGTCTTAAAATAATTGTCAGACTTTGTCTATTTCATAACATGTGTGTGTGTGTGTATGTTATTGTTCCATATTGACAGCAATGAAGGATCTTGTCTCGTCTTTTTCTTGGTCAGCGATTACTAAACATTTTAGTTCAGCAATGAAAGACTTCAACACAAATAATTTTAACTTAACTATTTTCATTAAACATGTCAACATGCACATTATCTAACTATCCAGTAGGGGTTGACTCCCACTCCCCATCACTGGGGAGCTGTTTTGGACACAAAAGAGAACGCGTCTACATTGCTTGATGAGTAAGAAACAACTCCTGACATTTCTCCTATCTCTTTCCTACGATAGTCCAGCCAATCAAAATCAACTTCCCTATTATGGCTCACATCTGACCGCCAATGTCAACCTCCAGAAGTTGGAGCCAAAATATAGTTCCTTTAAAAATAATAGTCTTCTAAACTATTATTTAACCATTACTACACTGCAGGCGGTAATTGTTGATGTGGAATTCTCTCCCTTTGCTACTCTACACACATTCTGTCACCTTGAGACGGTTGCTATAAATAAACACTTATAAACTGTTATTTCTGGTATTTTAAGCTGGAAATTGCCTACTACTGCTTTGGAAGAAGATTAAACTTCTGTTTTCCAATGCCATTTTGAATTCTTCTAGACTCTACACGAGGTGTAACATTGTTTGAACCCACATTAATTTTTTCAATTTTTTGTAAACAAAAATGGCCACATCAATATCCAACAAAGCCTTTATTCAGAAGTTTTTCTTTGATTAGGACTCCGATGATGATTTTGAAGGATATTCTCAAGTGGATATTGACAGTGAAGTGGTCAGAGATGATAACCACACTAGTGATGTGGAGGAAAGTGATGATGAACACTAGTGGCTACTATCATCCATGCCTGACTAATTTTATGGAAGCTACTATCGACCACTGATATACCTGATAACCTTTCTGAAGGTGAATTAGTTTGTCTATTTATAAACGACAAAATAATTATTTGTCAACGAGACAAATAAATATTAGTCAGGTAAAAGAAAGACCAAACAAATGCTGGTGTCTTCTCGTATGTAAACACGAGGAAACATGTCACGTTTTTGATGAGATGAAAGCCTTCTTAGCAATTTTGCTTCTTATTGTACCCCCAGAACTCCACAAGGAGTAATAAAAGTTAAAGTACATTGAATTATTTATGTATTTTTTAATGTATTTGTTTTTATTTCGTGTTTTTATTTTGCATTTCATTTTTTTTGTTTTCAATGTCAAAACATGCAGGCAAAATGTAATGCATTACATCAAAATATTACTCATCAATTCTTTTATTAATGTACAAAAATATAAAATCTATATTCACAATACAAAGAAAGTTATAACAATTTTAATACAGTAGGTGTTCATGATTTTGCACCCTCAAAAACAATGCTGTGGCAGGGGGAAGAATTCTAGAAAGAAATTAACATGGGATAGTGTTATGGTATAACACACCTATTCTATAGTTAATAGACTCTCCCGCCTATAATAAGTAGGAGTAGTAAGAGTAACGAGTGAAGTCGCTCAGTGAGTTGGTCAGTCAGTTGATGCCAGATGACCGTGAGTCGGATATTAAAGTATCAACCACCACAACTAGATTACTGCATTATACCTATTATATCAAGTTCCTAACGTTTTGTACGTCAAACCTGTTTTAGGACCGACTTAGTACAAATACAAGCCTCCACTGTGAAATCACTCCATAACAGAAAGGTTTGTTGTAATCGAACCATTTCCAGCTTTGTTGCAATGTTCTTTTTGTGGAGTTAGAGTTTAGCAATTCTGGCTTTTTTAATGGTTAGTTTTCCATTTCTTCGAGTTCTTCAGTCTATGACTTTAAGAAATAGTATGTGTAGTTTCGGAATATGTGATGGGATGTTCTTGATATTTTATATGTACCTCGTTGGATGGCTTTTTCAGTAAGGATGCATTTTAGTAAGAAATTTTTTCAATTTCTAAATAAATTGGATGATATCTGCCTATCCCAGTTTATTGGGGCTGCTGCCATGTATCCAGGCTATTTGTTACATTGTAAGGTACTGCTTATACTGACCAATTCTTTATCTAATGTCTCTGGGTCGGCACTTATGACTTTTACTTGGTGGGTACAGGAGGAGAAGGACAACAATACTCAGAAAACAGCCTGCCTTATGTGAAGAGGTTATCAAAGAAAATACAAAAGATCTGTGGTCCATATAACATCTGGACAACTGTCAAAAGCTGGACGACACTTCGCAGATATTTCTCCCGAGTAAGACCACTCCCCCCATAGAGGAGAACATGAGTGTGTACACTATCCCGTGCAACTGTGGAAAGAAATATAAAGGGGAGACAGGCCGCCCTTTTAAGGTAAGGCTTCAAGAACACCAAAAAGCTGTAACACGAGAGGAAATGGAAAAATCAGGCGTGGCTGACCACATATGGAGAGAAAAGGGAGATCACCGCCCTCTGTGGGATCAGGCTGAAATCACAGACAAAGAACATCATTGGAAAGTTTGTAAACTTAAGCAATTAGCATATATGCTAGGCCACAAAAATCTCGTGAGCTGACCAAGCATAGAAATGAATACAATATGGGAACCAGTAACAAGTAGTGCCAGAGAAAAGCAATAATAGAAATGAAAATTGCAATATGAGCTCTGGTAAAAAAATATGCAATGATAACAGCTAAAATTGCAATATGAGCACTGATAAAAATGGTTGCTGAAGACATTAAGTTTATAAGTCCCAGAAATTCATGCACAGATGTCCATGGCACAGTGGATAAAGGCATTGGTTAGATCCAGTGACAGGACCCAAAGAGTGTGAGTTTAATACCTGATTAAGGCAGGGGAGAACTTGCAGAGGGGAATTAACAGGAGATAACTGATAACTGACATCCATTAAGTGGAACTAGAACAGTCTACCTCAGCGAGCGAAATAAAGGGTTCAGTTCGACATTCTAACCACCTGAAGAAGGCCGGAGTGTACAACAGCCGAAACTTTGTGATGAATATAGCAACAAAGATGAGGACAATAGTCCTCCGAATAATGTAAATAGTGTACATAATACCTCATCTCAGAAATAAAGACAGGTTCAGAAACTCGTTTGTTACTACATGTGTATGAAGATAAGCTGAACATTACTTGTCTATCTTAGTTTATATCTATTTGTGTAGAGACACAGATAGATATGAACAGACTAAGATAGATAGATATGAATAGACTGAAAAAGCTAGATAAATTTGAATAAACTAAGGTAGGTAGATATATATACATAGTCATATAAGATATGAACAGACAGATAGATAGATAGATAGATAGATAGATAGATAGAACAGACTGAGACAGACAGGTAAGATAGACCTGAACTGACAGAAAATGATATGAACACACTGAGATAGATAGATAGATAGATAGATAGATAGATAGATAGATAGATAGATATGAAGAGAGGTGTATAGACGGGGATAGATAGATAGATAGATAGATAGATAGATAGATAGATAGATAGATAGATAGATAGATAATGGACAGGCTATGATAGACAGATAGATAGATAGATAGATAATGGACAGGCTATGATAGATAGATAGATAGATAGATAGATAGATAGATAGATAATGGACAGGCTATGATAGATAGATAGATAGATAGATAGAACAGACTGAGACAGACCTGAACTGACAAAAACAGATATGAACGGACTGAGAGAGATAGAGAGAGAGAGCAATGACTTTCTTTCTTTAATTCTCTTGATCCCATCCCTTCTTTCTTTTTTTCTTTCCCTTTTTCTTTCTTCTAATGAATTACTCTTAGTCTTTCTTCCATTCCCATAATTCATTTTTCTTTTTCTCAATGCATTATTCTTTCTATTAATGACATTCTGTCTTTCTTTCTTTTTCCTCCTTTCTATCTTCATTTCATCACTCTTTCTTTCTCACTGTTCCCCCCATACCCACTTCCATTCTCTCTCTTTCACTTTACCTCCTCTCTCCCATGTACATTCTCTCTCTAAACTCCTTTTCGCATAGTTTTTGTTTTTCCTCACCAGCTGCTCTAAATTTCGTGACCTTGTGCCCGACTATGTCTCAGACTTCGTAAATATCTTCTTTCTCGCCATTCCTCGATTTGAACCCTCAGTGATGCCAGCCTGCAACTACACCTGCCCCATTCTCCCCACCCTCATCTGTCACAAGCAGCACTAGCACCACTTAAAGAACAGGAATTTTCTGCACCCTCTCCCCCCCTCCCCAATTATACTCGATGCATATCACATTTCTTGGCAAGCTGACTAACAAAGAGATGATTTGAATGAACATCATTAATTAGAGTCAGAAAGACCCACAAACGCCAGTAGCCACCCAGGAAGGAAAGGGACTGGGGGTTGTGGGTGATGATGCATAGGAAATGGGTGGGGTCTTTGGGTTATGGGGAGTTATTGTGGACAGGTGGATGTTGTTTGCATCTGTCCATTCATTTTCTGTTTTTCTTCCCTAGTTTTCTTTTTTTCCTTCCTTTCTTTTTCCTTTCTTTCTTTATTCTTTCTTTCTTTCTTTCTTTCTTTCTTTCTTTCTTTCTTTCAGCCTTTTCCTTGTTTTCCTTTCTTAACTGTCCTTTTTCATTTTTTCCTATTTTCTTTCTTCTCTTTTTCTCTCATTTTTCCTTTCTTTCCCTCTTTCTTTCTTTTTTTTTTTTTTTCCTTTCTTTCACTTCCTTATTTTCCTTTCTTTTCCTTTCTTTAATTCTTTTTTCTTTCTTGCCCTCCCTTTCTTCATTTTTTTCTTTCCTTTCTTTTTGTTTTCTTCCTTTCTTTTTTTTTTCCTTTATCCTTCCTTCTTTTTTTTTCTATTTTTCTTTATTTTTTTTCCTTTTACTTTTTTCTCTTCTTTATTTTGTTTTTCCTTCTTTTTCATTTTCTTCCTTATTTTCATTTTTTTTTTTTTGCCGTCTTTCTCTTCCTTTCACTTCCTTTCGTTCCTTTTTCTTTTCTTTCTTCTTTCTTTACTATTCTTTCTTTTCTCTCTTAACTACATTTCTCCCCCCCTCTCTCTCTCTCTTTCTTTGTCTCTTTCTCTCATTGAAAGGGAAGTCAATCTCACAATGAGGGAATGGATCTACAATGGAGAGTGATTGTTAATTAAAGAATGATTAAACATGTACAGATTACTGGCTATCACTTCAGATATCTTTATAATATAGCAAGAGCTAAAATATGAAAAGTACCAGACTGACCGCTTTTGGAATTGGGGTGACGCCTGCTCCCATCCCCCTCACATGCATACACCGATTTTTTTTTCTGCAATCATATTATGCTGAAATTAAGAATTCAACCTCAAGAAACTTTGGGAAGGAGACGCCAAGATTGCCAGCTTTTTGGCATTAGAATCTAAATTTCTCTTCAGAAAGAATGGTAATTTCAAGTAATGTCGCATTCAGAAGAGAAAGAAAGGAAGAAAAGTGGACTAATAAATGGAAAGAAAGAAAGAAGGAATTAATAAAGGAGAAGTGAAAAAGGAGAAAGAAAGAGAGAATAAAGAAAAGAAAGTAAAGGAAACAATAGAAAAGAAGGAAGGAGGAATAAAGACAAGAGAGAGGGAGAAACAATAGAAAGGAAAGAAGGAAAGATAAAGAAAAGGAAAAATAATAAAGAGAAAAGAAGAAAGGGGAAATAAAAAATGAGAGGAGAAGACATAGAAAGGAAGGAAGGAGGAACAATAGAGAGAGAAGTAGTAAGAGGAAGGAAGGAAAAAGAAAAGAAAAAGGAAAAATAATAGAGAGGAAGGAGTAATAAAAAGAGAGAAGGAGAAACAATAGAAAGAAAAGAAGGATAAGGAAAAAAAGAAGGAGAAAAAACAGAATAGAAAGAAGGAAGAATAAAGAAAAGAAAGAAACAATGGAGAGGAAAAAGAAACAGCAAACAAAATGAATGAGCGGCAATAGAAATGAAGGAATGAAGAATAAAAAAGAGAGGTAATGGGAAAGAGGAGAAATAATGAAAAAATGAAGAGGAAGGAAAAGAGAATAAAGTAAAGAAAGGAGGAAAGATAATAGAGAAGAAAGAAGGAAGGAAGAAAAGAAAGAAAATAAAAGGCAAGGAAACAGTGGAAAAGCATAAGAATGAAGAAAACAAGAAAGGCAAAAGATAAGAAGGAAAGAAAACTAAAGAAAGAATGAGAACCAACAGAGAGGAAAGGAGGATGAATAAAGGAAAGAAAGAGTGAGGGGCAACAGGGATGATGGAAGGAAGAGTAAAGAAAAGAAAGAAAAGGAAACAGTAGAAAGAAGGAGGAGGAATAAATGAAACAAAGGTGAAAAGGAAATGTAGAGAAAGGTTCGCAGAACATGGAAAAGAAGAATAAAAAGAAAGGAAGGAGGAATCAAGACATAAAAGGAATAAAGAATGAAAAATAAAAGAGAGAAAGCAAAGATAAGAATCCAAAGAAGAAGAAGAAAAAAGGGAAAATCAAAAAGAAAAGAAAAATAAAAAAGAAAAGGAAAAAGCAGAATAACAAGAAGAAAAAATGGATTGAAGAAAAGAAAAAAGGAAAAGAAAGCAAGAAAGAAAAAGTATAAATGTCTGGCTTGGAATCAGTCACAGGACATATTGAAGGGACGAAGGAAAACAGCAGGTGACCTAACGAACGAACGTGTAAATCAATGGCAAAACAAGGACTGGGGAAGGATAACGAAAAGACAAATCTTACTTAGAGCTAAAAAAGATTAAAGGTTGTGGCGAGCCATGATCACCCACATCCTGAATAATTAGCTTCTTCTTCTTCATTGTGCCATCACCCTTCAGTTCATTGGCAATCATGGCTCTCCACAATCTCCTGTCCTTTATAGCTCTTCATAAATTTTGTCTTCTTATGTCTCCCAAACCCTGTTCTGACATCCATTTACTCAAGCTCTCCAGGTAGGTTACACATTGTTTTCCACTGACTCTCTTGCCTTCAATCTGTCCAGTAACTTTCCAAGCCCTGTTTCTTCATTTTATGCCTTAGAAATTTCAAACGCATAAGGAGTTGATATGCTGTTAAACAAACAAATAAACAATAAAAATTTCAATTTCTGATGTCAAGTATAAGTCTACCGCTTTCAAACGGCCGTGGTAATCCCAAGGGTCTATCCTGGTCAACACAGCACCAAATCTACCACTTTGTCCCCAGCCCCTCAACCTCCGGCGTCTTCCTCTTTGGGTTGAGGTGTCCACTCAGTCCGAACCGATCTTAGGGGTAACTGGCCGTACGCTCTCTGAGTACCCGTAGATTATTTCGACCGGTCAACTGATCAAGTCCTGCTTGCTGCCCATGCTGTGTTAGTTTTTAGATCCAGTTCACGGTCGACTGGGGGTATGTACACGGCTGTGAGAGTTGGTGGTAGGAAGTTTAGAATATGGCAAAATAAAACAAGAAATAATATCTGCAGAAGCCAGACAACAATAGGGGAAATATTGACATCTTTTATATAAGAAGATAACATCAGAACAGAGGTTACAGGGAGAATAAAAACATTTAACATAAATGAGAAAAGAAAAAGAAAAAGGCACAATACATCCAGCGATATTCCCAACAGAGAGAAGGTTTGTGTTTGATAAACGTGTATTGAATCGCCCGAGGTAAGTTTATGACTAGTAGTCCAGTCTCATACAGACTTCTCAGAACAGGGGGCAGTCTTCCTTCTCTAATTCTCCCGCAAATCTATCGTGACTTTCTCAATGACGGTCTCGTTCCCCGACTATCTCTTCCGTCTCGCTCGACTGTCTGCCCAAGAATTCTCTATCGACTGCTTTTCCTGGCTGCCTTGTAGTGCCGCAACCTGTAATGGTCGTCAGCGGGTGCCCACGCACATGATGGCAATGTGCCGACCGGTTGCGGTCTCTCCTGTCTCTCCCACCTGTCTGGCCTCTTCCGTCTCGCTCGACCATCTGCCTCTTCCGTCTAACTATGTGCTTATATAGATAAATCCGTTTGATCATAAATCGACCCTTGGTCTGGCTCACAATTATCATGAGTACCATTTCCAACCCAAAATCATGTGAGTTTCAAAGTTCTCATAGCCTGAGTAAGCTCTATTTCAATTTTTAACTGATAAAATTTATTTAGATCATTTTCATTGTTTTTTCAACGACCCAATTTCAAAGGCGAGATCAGATTTCCTCATCAGTAAACAGAACGCTCTGATCTAGTTTCACTAGTAGATTCACTCCAATTTCAATAAAAAAATATGTGTGTGTGTTTATGTGGACGTGTGTGCGTATACCTCTCTCTGTTACATAAGTTTCCTTTTTGTTTCCACTTGCTCTAAAATTTTGTCATTGCTCACATGTTCGATCCATATTCTCAGCATCCTTCTGTAGAACCACATTTCTGTTCCTTCAAGTCTCTTATTCATCTTTGAGGAGATTGTCCAGCATTCACTGTCATATAGGAGTTCAATACACTTTTCTTTGGTTCTACTGAAATTTTCCTGTTTCTCAATACGTTGCTTAGCTTTTGGAATGCAACTTTCATTATCCCAATGCACCTTCAGATATTAGTGTCACAATTTTTTTCCTCTCTTAAAATACTTCCGAGATATTTAGATTGTTGCCCTGGTTTGATTTTGGCATCTCCAATTTGTAATTTGCATGTTGGGCTGTCCCTTTTGTTATCAACCATGCATTCTATCTTCTTGCATATGATGTTTAATCTTTTCTGCTCACTTCATTACCTTCTGTAGGAGTTCTTGTAGTTTCCTTTATATGTCTGCTATCAACACTGTCATTTGTATATCACATGTTGTTAAGATTGTACGTTTTAACATACCTAACATAGTTTAGTCCTTTCTTCTCGCTTTCCTTCACTACCTACTGTAGGAGTTCTTGTAGTTTCCTTTCTGTGTTTGTTATCAACAATTGGTCATCTGCATATCTTATGTTGTTAAGATTGTTTTAACTTAACATAGTTTAGTTTTTCTTCTTGCTTTCCTTCACTACCTACTGTTATTCTTATAGTTTCCTTTGGTCATCAACACTGTGTCATCTGCATATCTTATGTTGTTAAGATTGTACGTTTTAACATACCTAACATAATTTAGTCTTTTTCTTCTCGCTTTCCTTTTCTACCTACTGTAGGAGTTCTTGTAGTTCTTGTGTTTGTTTCAACACTGTGTCATCTTTATCTTTGTTGTTAAGATTGTCAACATAATTTTCCAGTCAATGTGTCATCTTTGTCTGTTATCAACAATGTGTCATATCTTATGTTGTTAAGATTGTACGTTTTAACATACCTAACATAGTTTAGTCTTTTCTTCTTGCTTTCCTTCACTACTTACTGTAGGAGTTCTTGTAGTTTCCTTTCTATGTCAGCTATCAACACTGTCATTTGCATATCTTATGTTGTTAAGATTGTCCCCGCCAAGAATGAATCCTGGTAGGATTTCTAATTCTCTCAGAATAAGATACTGGTTTTAAATGTTTTAGAATAAAATTTATCGCAATAAAAAGATAATACATAAACGCATTAAACCCATAGATAAAAAATGTTATTGTTTATTATAAAAAATTTTAAATCAGTAACCTAATTATCAAAATTAATATCTTGTAACTCATTGAACTCATACACAAGATTAATGTTGTTTATTTGTCCAATTAGAGATAACTTCTCTGTAAATAATAAACAAAATATATCGTATGTTGGTTACACAACAACTGCACTTTCATGAAGGTTCATATGCTAGTTTGAGGAGACACAGTAGATGAATTTTCAAATCCCGCATTCTTGAATATATATAAAAAAGATTTAAAAAAAAGTACATATTGCTTATTTCCTTCTTTTCTATTTTTCATTCTCATTCTTTCTTTATCCCATGCATTTTATTTTTATTTTTTCCTTCTTTCTGAACCTAACCCTTAAAACTAGTGATTTTTCTTTCTTTATTTTTCCACCTTTCTTTTAAAATTTTCGTTTATTTTTTTCCTTCATATTTTCCTCATTCATTTCCAATCATAAATTTTTCTTTTTCTTCTCTCCGATTCAAATTATCAATAGCAGTATTTTTTTTTTATTTTTTATATCATAGCAGCATCTTTTTATATCATCTAAATTTAAAAAAAAAATTTTCCTTCATTTTTCTCTTTCTTCTTTTTTTTTTCTTTTACACGTTACTTACAGGACTTACTGCGTTCTACTGCATAGGATTTAGATGTTTTTTAAAGAATGCTCTGCTTAAGATATGTTTGATTTTCTTTCATCCTTTATAATTTTTCATGCCCTGATGATGAGTTGTGCAAACCCAAAGCTTTAATATTGTGAATGATACAAGACTTAAAAAAAAGTTGAGAGAAAAAATTATGACTTATTCATATGACTAAAATTGCTACCCCTGGCTAAAATTGTTCTTCTTAAACTTGAAATTCCTCTTCTGGGAACCAAATTTCTTCTATTTGAGAATATTTTTATAAACTTAAATATTGTCTGAAATTCAAAGATGAGTCATTATTCTTCTTCTTCTTCTTCTTCTCTTCCTTCTTCTTCTTCTTCTTCTTCTTCTTCTTCTTCTCCTCCCTCTCCTCCGTACTACTACTACTACTATTATTATTATCCCAAGAGTTATTTGAACTTATTTTTTGCTACGTTACAGTTGAAGCCTTCTTCGGTCTGCCTTTGGCATAACTATTTACCTTAAAATTGTCTCATAGCTAAAATAGTGAAAGCAGATGCTCCTATCACCCAAGATCTTTCCGCATGTCCTACTTGTAAAAGAGCGTGCCGTTTTTCATGTTGGTTTAATCAGCCATACAAGAACTCATCCACCATGAGGGCAATCAAATGACTTACCCTGAAAAGATGGTCCACGATGAGGACAATTAGTTAAAATAGTTGCTAGGCTTAGTGAATCAAAAAAATGAAGAATTGCTGAGTTTAATAACAGAATACTTCACTACAAGAAAAGCAACAAAAAAATGCTGAAGAAAAAAAAAGCAATGAAAATGGAAGCACTACAGAAGTTTCTTCTTTTTCTAAGTGCCATAACCTCTCAGGACGTGGCTAATCTCTGCACCTTACAAGTTCCTATCTTTCGTTGACCCTAGCAATGTTTTTCCCTTTACCAAACCTCCCGAAACCCGTTCTGCCATCCATACACATACACTCATGAGGTAGATAGCCCACTGCCTTCCCCTATCTCTCTTGCCCTTGATACACCCTGAGAGGGTTTTATTTTCCAAGCCCTTCTTCCTCATTATATGTTACTTACAGCCACACAATGTTGAAACACTGGTTCCCGTACAATCACCAATGTTAAGCAATGTTGAGCCTGGTCGTACATAGATGAGTGGCTTCTTGGGAACAACAGGTGCTATAAGCTTGGATGTGTGGGTGGTGTAATGGATAATGGCTCAGAATTGTTAATCAGAGAGCCAAGTTCCAGTCCTACTTAGGTTCATTATATTCACTAACACGTAAAATACCCTTGGGAAAGGTATGAATCCACCTTTTCTTCCCCCAGCTATGGGTTAATTAGTAAGATGTGTATCACTAAAACTATTATTATCTCCCTCCAAGAAATAAATTTGCATACAAAATAGATTTTGGTATTAAATAACCTTTGGAGGTTGATATGTCTTTAAACAAAAACAACCAGCCAATCATTATATGTCCAAGAAATTTCAACAGTCTCTTTCTGATTCTGAGTAAAGAATTCTCAGTATCCTTCTGTAGAACCGCATTTCTGCTGCCTCTAGTTTTTTCCTCTTCATCTGTTGTGAGAGTATTCGGTGTTCAGTGCAATGCAAGAGAATATCACATAGCAATTTGGCATTCTTTTCTTTTTTTTCTAACTACAGAAGTTTAAAAATTGAAAATAAGGTTTTAGCCACTAGAGATGACAAAGAAGAAAATTTTGAACACATGAACAAATGATTAAAAAAAAATTGGAGAAAGACGAGCAGCAGGGAAGTTTTAATGAAAAATAGCAAGTACAATATATTATTTCACACATAGGATATGTTGAAAGCAAAAAATCAGGGGAGACAACTAGTAACATAAGTTTAAATGATGGCTAGTGAAACAGGAGCAAATAGGTATGGTAAACGTTTAAAAGTTACTTAGAGGAACAAAAGACAGAAAGTTATGGAGAACTATTGGTAGAAAAACTTAGATTCTAGAGAGAGAAAAAAATTAAGAATGAAGTGAAAGAAGAAAAAGAAGAAAGAGAAAAATAAAGGAAAAATTTTTTTTTAAATTTAAATGATATAAAAAATACTACTATTGATAGTTTGAATCAGAGAGAAGAAAAAGAAAAACTTGGCAGGAACAGGGAATATAATTTATCTGAGTACTTTTTATGGAAGTTGCGGCAGAGCAGCAAGAGGTTTGCCACAGCTGTGGGAGAGCAGTTGAAGGGTGGAGAATAATTCATTGTCCACAAGGGCTCAGAGATGCTTTTGTACTCTATCAAAGCTAGAGTGTGAGGTTTTGGCAGCTCCTGCCTAAATATGACAACAGTACTTCATTTTTGACCTGTTCTGGTTCTTGTAAAGGTAGAGGATAGCAGGAGGAGTTCGGTACTTACTAAAGTGGTACAGGGCACCGACCATTTTATCTGCATCCTTTAGCAACGGTTTGTATGTACAAGTTCCGTTTGAGGTTGGGTGTGAGTTTGAGGCCCAGCAATCTTTTAAGGCATGGTACTTCCTTTAGAAGTGTCCTATTAAGAAAACTTTCCAAGTCCAGCTTGGATGATAAACATGGATGAATTGTTCCTCCAATAAAAGAAGGGGAGAACATCTATAGTTCTATTTTTCCGTATGCTGTGACTTCAGTCTTGTTCTCTATCATCTGTAGGAAGACAAAAGATTGGGGCAGAGACAGCAAAATTAGAAGGATGAGTGCGAGATCAGGCAGTGGTTTAGCAAGGGTTCTCAGCACTTTGGCAAAAACAATATTCTTTTTCTGCTTCTATGTGTCATGTCCCTTCAGGGCATTGATGATCATGGCTCTCCACAATTTCCTATCCTTTGTAGCTCTTAATAATTTTTTTCTTTTTGTTATCTCTCCTAAACCCTGTTCTGTTATCTATTTACACAAGTTTCTTCTTCTTCTTCTTCTCATCCAAATCCTCCTCCTCCCTTCATCCAAATCCTCCTCTCCTTCCTCCATCTCCCCTCATCCAAATCCTCCTCCCCTTCCTCCACCTCCCCTTCCTCCACCTCCCCTTCCTCCACCTCCCCTTCCTCCACCTCCCCTTCCTCCACCTCCCCTTCCTCCTTTGTAGCTCTTAATAAATTTTGTCTTCTCCTAAACCTTGTTCCACCATCCATTTACTCAAGCTTGCTAGGTAGGTTATGCATTGTTTTTCTCTGTCCTTCTTGAAACGGGATATCTTCACAAACATAGATATCCATTAAAATAACATTTGAAGTTATATAAGACTTATATAACATCTTTAAAAGCTAATGTTTCGGGAATAAATAAAAAAAACGGTAAATGAAGTTTCGATTTATTTTGAAAATTAATGACAATAATTAATACAAATGATACGGCTCAGGTTGATAGCATTTTCATCGATCATTGCCAAGAAGATAAATTTGGTCTTTGGTTTAGTTCTCAGTTTTGGCAAAAAGTTGGACAAGCAGAAGCTTCCCCAACCCGTCTATGACACTTTGGATGGTTTTGATAAGAATAACCAGCTGATCGTATTATCCGCCATTATAATAAACCGCTCCCTCTCCCTGGCTCTCCCTCACACAACCACACCCATCTTACTGGCTGAATTCTGTTCTATTTTATCCAGACTGGATATCATATTGAAAAGTCAATGATGCGAAAAAAGCAGAAGATGCTGGAGAGATTTGCAATTAATTTAAATTCATAGGAACAATGTGAAATTTGCATGAAATATGGAGAAAGGTTTGATTTTTATTTTATTTTTATTTTTTTAAATTATCAACACCCCATCCCCCACCCTATATCCTTGACAGGTATTTACCCGGCTATCTTGTGTAAGGAAGGGATCCCTTAAATCTAATTGTCTTTTACTGCTCCATATGGGCATAGTGTAAAGGTTAGCGGCGTGGAAAGTAAAATCAGTGAACTGAGCTCAAATTCCAGTCCAGTCTGAGGCGATCACTTTTGCACTAATGCCCTTGGCAAGGTAATGGATCCATCATTTATTTACCTTTACCACTACCCATGGTTATGGGTTAAATAGCAGTGTAGACTGAATCCTCTAGCCTTGATTGGTAGACAAAGGAGGTTTACATTTAGGAGATTGAATTATCTATTTGCTATGAAATTAAATTTGATAATTGGTTCTTTTAATTTGTTTTTGCAAATTTGTCGTATTTACAGAACTTATCTAGAACCTTACAAATTTCCAATTTACAGCCCTGGAAATTAAGGCTCTCCATTTTAGATTAAAATTTGCTATTGGGATCTCAAAAAAAAATAATAACCTATTATCTGGAATTACAAACACAAAGGCACTGATTTCTTTAAAGTATTTATATATGACATGATCTTTTTCATCATTTCATCCCAAGCAAAGCAATAAAGCCACTAAGACACAAGGTGTTATGGAGTGTTAGAGAATATGAGGAAAAAAAAACATTATTATTGTATATTATTATATTGGGATTTTTTGCACATGTCAGAATTGAAACTTCATTCTCAATCATTTGCACCTGCAAAACAAACAACAAAATTCTTAAAATATCGTAATATAAACATATTAAATTAAATCTTATTTTATTTTTCAATCATTTCACGCCAAGCAAGGTAATAAAGCCACTACGATGCAAGGTAGGTTACCGAATGTTAAAGTATATGGAAAAAAAATGCTATTAAGGAGAGAGAACAGTAAAAGAACAAAAATTAAGATGGAAGATAACAATTGACATTACATTTAAATTTTGGAAGATCAAAGTTGACTGAGAAGCAAGAAGCCAGAAGAGAAGCAAGAAATGCAATAGAAGAAACTGTTAGCATAGAATTACGGTTTACATCACGCCATTTCAACTCTAAAATGATGAGACCTTGCCACCAATCTAAAACTGCACTTAAATTCACAATGTCTAGGTACCATAGAGGAAAGTTCATCAGAACAATTAGCATGAAAGTACTTATAAAAAAAAAAGGCACAGGGAAGCTTTGCTACAATATTGGGAAAGAGACTGAAGCAGAGATGCCAGGTCAGGACCAATAACATTGCAGATTCTTCTTTGTATTTTATCAAGAATCTCTAAATATACAACAGGAACACCAGAATAGGTATGGCAGCAATATTCAAAGCAATGACAAATGGTAGGCTTATAAATATGTAAGATAGATTCAGGCAAAAAAATGATCTAGTACTATGCATTGAACCAACTTTCTGAGCTGCTGACTTAGCAATTGATTCGATATAATCTTTCCACTTCATGTCAGCAGAAAACATTGGCCCGAGAAGTCGAAGTGAGTCACTCTTCTGGGGGTTAGCATCAGCTTCATCTTATTCTTCTATGTGCTGCATCCCTTCAATAACATAGGCGATCATGGCTCTCCACAACTTCCTATCTTGTATGGCTCTTAGCAGTTTTTCTTCCTTTGCTAAAACCTCCTTCCCATTATGCCACCCATTCGCACACGCTTGTCAGGTAAGTGGCTCGCTGCATTCCCCTATCACTCTTGTCCTCAATAGGACCCTTGAGGGTTAAGTTTTCCAAACCCTTCTTTCTTATTATGTGTCCAAGGAATTTCAGCTGCCTCTTCCTGATTTTGAGTAGAATTGTTTTTTCTGTTGCCATTTTCTTTAAGACTTCCTTGTTGCTTACTCCATGATTTGTCAGTGGAACCAGATTTCTGGCTCAAGTTTTCTCCTCGTCCATGGGTGGGGAGGTTGTTCAGCATTCAGTGTCATGTAAGAGGATGTATATATGATGTACCAATCCAGCACTTTTTTCTTTGTTTCTAACAAAAGATTTTTTTTTCCATTTCTCAGCACCTTAGCTTAGGTTTTGGAATTTTTCTTTCGCTAGGCCAACATGTGTTCAGATCTCAGTGTTGCACTTTTCATCCTCAGTTAACAACAATTCCCAGATAGTTGAACTTCTGCACCTGCCCAATGTCAACATCTCCCATTTGTAACCCCCATCTTGGGCATTCTCTTTTGCTGACAGCCATATTTCTCAGCACCTGGTTTAGCTTTTGGAGAGAACAAAACCGATGAAACCACTCTATGGAAACAATTTATAAATGCTTTCAAATAAATTAGCAAACAATAACAAAATCATCTTCTTACTGACTATGATGGAAGCATAATAGTTGTAAACACAGACACATAGCACAAAAAACAACAATGTTATTTGGTTTCGTTTGGTTTGGTTTGTTTTACGGCATATCAAGCTCAATGGGTTATTTAATGCCAAGATTTTTAGGATAGATCTATATGAATAAAATATGTATTCTTTGTAAGAAATCAGTTTGTAGGTCAGGGTTTGGGTTTATTTTGTTTTATGGCTTATCAACCTCAGTGGGTTATTTAATGCCAACAAGATTTTTATTATAGGTTTGTATGAATAGAATATGTATTCTTTATAAGAAATCAGTTTGTAGATCAGAGTTTGGGTATATTTTGTTTTACGGCATATCAACACCTCAGTGGGTTATTGAATGCTGATGAGATTTTTATTATAGGTTTGTATGAATAGAATATGTATTCTTTGTAAAAAATCAATTTGTAGATCAGAGTTTGGGTTTATTTTGTTTTACAGCTTATCAAACTCAGTGGGTTATTTAATGCTGACAAGATTTTTTAGGGTGTGCCCGTATGAATAGAATATGTATTCTTTGTAAGAAGTCAGTTTGTAGGTCAGGTTTCATCGATGTATTTTTGTAAAGAGGGTTTTTGTCAAGAGTCAAATGTATTACCGGCAATTTTTTTCTTTTTTTCCAAAATTTATTACTGGTATTTTTACTATAAAAATGTACTTTTATACTTTCATAGTGTTTTGACCTCAGTTGAGTGATTAGTTATTTACCCATAGCACCTGGGGCCAGGGTGGACCTGGGAACAACAACAGTTAAGAGGTGGTTCCATGCTCTGGAATACCTCCCGATTAAAGGCCCTGATGCCAGATGCAGTTTATCATCATACCCAGGAAGAAATGTTATTAACAGGTTACTAACAACTATAATCCATGTGCATGTGAGTGGATGCTGAAAAGTTATAGGCCTGATCCACTTTCCGAAAACTGACCAAATACCAGAATATATTTTTGTTGAGGGCACAACCAATCACTTTTTGGTCAGGTTGAAAACTTCTCAGCACCATTACGGATGTGTGTGGTGAGTAGAAATGTAAAGAGAGAGGGGGGGGAGAGAAAGAAAGAAAGAAAGAAAGAAAAACTGACACTTCCCTATTCCCAGAGTCAAAGTTGACAGGGTCTAATCATCTACATGTGTGCATGTAAGTTAACACACACAGGAGAGTGGTGGGGGATAAACTCACCCTTTTTGCTTTTCCGGGTATAATACATTGCCAATGCATATTTGCGATAACAGGGGCAGAGGATTAACACCCACCCCCACTGTTTTGAGTTCGTTTTATATTAATCTTACTGAGTTTACATTTGAGTATATGTATATCTACGCGCACACGCATGTATGTGTATTTACACAGACACACCCGTATATAACGGATTGTTCAAGTGTGTCTTACAGTTCCTTGATTCCAATCCCCCCACCCCACTACAATCTCACTCCATTAGAGTCATTTTGTTGTCCTTGTGGTATTGAAATTTGATTGATGGGATATTTTTAGCCAGGATAAGGAAAGCAGGGGGCCTTTTCCCAGGAGGTGGGATCATAAAGTGGAAAAGAGAGATGCTCTGTGTATAAATGAAGAGTGCTACTGTATAATATATATGTGTATGTCTATAAATCTGTATGCGTATAATATATATGTCTATGTCTATAAATCTGTATGCGTATGCAAATATATGAGCTTATATTTCTAAGATTCTCTATATGTATAGTTTTGAAGACACACTTCTTCTACAGGGTGTGATGGGTAAATTGTTGCGATTGTGTCTTTTTAATCTCACACATGCACATTGTTTTTAATTTTGTTGACTGCACAGTATAGTAGGGTCAGTTGGGCACCGTCTGTGAAAAAAAAGTGCACGATGACATAATTCACTCTGCCAGAAATTTGGAAACGGCAAGCAGTACTGGTTGGCATTTGCGATGAAAGGTGCAATACGGACATTTCTGAGTGTTTAGGTGTCAATCTGAGGTCAGTGCAGAGGATTCAAAAAGAGTTGGATGAGTCTAATGGTGATTATGAAGGTGTTTGGCGTGATCACTAGTGACGGCGATGTTATGCCTCCATTTATCTTCACACAGGGCCTCAGACACAACATAAAGGCCTACGTCAAATGCTGCCCTTCTTCAAGACCCTGCTGGAAGACCGTATGTCTGACAACAGGATTCTGCACCATGCCACACAAGCAGGAGAACACAGTCATGGCTGTCAGACAATTTCTACAACCACATCACCTCTTGCATCTGGCCACCCAACACCCCAGAATGCAAACCCCCTTGCATGGGGCACAGTTGAGCGAGACCGACAAAACTTCTTGCAACACCAAAGATGAAATGAAGGCAAGGATTATGGCAGCATTCACCAAATTAAACATGGAGACTGTCCAGAAGAGTTGCAGAAGATTCCGAAGTCATCTGGAGGCCGTGGTTGAAGCCAATAGAGATTTTATTGAATAAATTTACTCTTTAGTATTTCAAAATATTTTTGTGTCATTTTAACAAACATATCTGTTAAAATGAGATGTCAGTGTTATTTTCATTTTTGTCTAATTTAGGCGACAATTTATCCATTGCACCCTGTATGTGCCACATTCTTTCAAGACATAGGTGATAATGCCTCTCCACAATTTCCAATCTTTTATGGTCCTTAGCAGTTTTCCTCCTTTTGTTAAGGCCCCTCTCCATTCCACCATCCATTCATGATTGATCTTTTATTACAATCTATTGTTATAATTGCCCCATTTTATTGTTAGTTATTCTTGTTAATCTCTTATTGTACCTAATAAGATCTACAGTAAGAACGAATCTTCTCTCCATTACATAACTTTTATTACAGTCTATTGTTAGAATTGTTCCATTATATTATTAGATGTCTTGCTAATGTCTTATTGTAACTAACTTAGTTAAACATTATCATAAAAATATTTGATTAATAAAAGAAACATCGTATATATAACATTTGGCGCTATCCGCTGTTTCAGTGCCCCACTGGGATTCTTGAAACATTTCATAAGGGAAGAATACGGTACATTTAATAAAAAAAAAAATCATTTTTGCTTCTTTTTAGAATTTTTTTAAATATTGTTTATTTCTGAATTTATATAGATGTTTTTTTTGTTTTTGTTTTTTTGTTTTTTTTGTTTTTTTTTCATTTTAAAAGTATTTTCCCAATAAAAAGAAAGAAAAAAAAGACATGTTCCAAATGTCATTTAGCAGATGCATGGCTGCTGCCAAATTAAGCTCAGCGAGTGGGGGGGTGATGTTTGGTTTTTTGGGAGTTTGTAGTGAGGTCGGGCGTGTTGAGTTAATATGGGAACAGGCAGGTGGAAAAGCTTGGGGATTTCGGGTGTTGGGGGGAGATTGGGGGGTTTTGGCTGAAGGACATCCCTGACTGGAACAAATTGACATATTCTTGATGAGTAATCAGAGATGAGGGAGTTCTATGAACGGCAAAAGCAGAGGAAACATGTAAATGTATGCACACTCACATTCACACCAATAATAATGTCTAAATAATAATAATAATGGTGATAGTTTTCAAGACATCAAGATCATGGCACTCCACAACTTCCGAAAATGGAAATATGTGGGTATTAATATGTTCAATGGCAGACTTGCCAGGGTGTCAGCTTGTCCGGTGGCAAATAGGCCCCTGGTGGAATCAGCCCCCTATATCAAATAAAAATGCAATAAAGAAACCAACACAGACAACTGTTTTAGTAATAAAAAGTAATAAAAAGTTGATTAAGTCATCTGCACAATATCAGTTACTCAAGTCCAACGTGAGAAGACATTTTCAAAGTTAAAGACCATAAAGATAAGGTTAAGAAAATTCATTGTCTTCGGAGAATTTGGAATCATGAGTGTTGGTAGCCATTGAAAATTGGAATTATTAGATGACTCAGATGTGGAAGCAATTATTGGCAGATTTGAACAATCATCGAGTGAACACAGACGATTGATTACCTATCTATCTATCTATCTATCGATCTCAGTCTTTTCAATATCTATCTCTTTTCATCATCTATCTATCAATCATATGATTGCCTATCTATCTATTTATCTCAGTCTTTTCAGTATCTATCTATCTATCTATCTATCTATCTATCTCAGTCTTTTCAATATCTATCTCTTTTCATCATCTATCTATCTATCATATGATTGCCTATCTATCTATCTATCTATCTATCTATCTATCACAGTCTTTTCAGTATCTATCTATCTCTTTTCATCATCTGTCTATTGATCTATCACATGATTGCCTATATATATATCTATCTATCCCAGTCTTTTAAATATCTATCTATCTATCTATCTATCTATCTATCTATCTATCTATCTATCTATCTCAGTCTTTTCAGTATCTATCTATCTACTTATATATCTATCTCTTCATCATCTGTCTATCGATCTATCACATGATTGCCTATCTATCTATCGATCTCAGTCTTTTCAATATCTATACATCTCTTTTCATCATCTATCTATCATGATTGCCTATCGATCTATCTAGCTATCTCAGTCTTTTCAGTATCTATCTATCTATCTCTTTTCATCATCTATCTTTCTATCTATCTATCTATCACATGATTGCCTATCTATCTATCTATCTATCTATCTATCCATCTCTATCTATCTATCTATCTATGTTTTTTTTTCTTTTTGTCACAATTACTCTTATTTAAAGTACAAAGAAAGAGAAATCCAAAACTTATACAGTGACGGACAGACTGGGGTGTCAGCTTGCCCAATGTGAAGTGGATCCCTGATTGAGTAGGCCCCTAATATCAAATAAAAATGCAATCAAGGAACAAATACAAACAACTGTTTTAATAATAAAAGGCAATAAAAACTTGATAAAGTCATCTGTACACTATCAGTTACTCAAGTCCAACGTGAGAAGACATTTTCAAAGTTAAAAATCATAAAGACATGGTTAAGAAAATTCATTGTCTGCAGAGAATTTGGAATCATGCATGTTGCTATCCATTAACAAAGAATTGTTAAATGAATTGAATGAAGATGCATTTATAGGCAGATTTGAACAATCAATTTTCTCAACCTGAGCCATATGACACCCTTGGAGACCATGTGATATTTTAAGGGGCCACAAGATCAAATTTTAAAAATGGGGAGCCACATGGTGGCACAGAAAATTTAGGACCCACAAAATATATATATATATATGGAGTATTTTGTAATTAATAATTATTATTTAAAAGAAAATATTACATTTACTATAAAGTTAAATATCAAATTAATCTAAGGCATTTTGTTAATATAAATATTTATTTATTGTAATTTTTTCATCTCAACTATGCAAAATGACCATTTTTAGTTTTCAATTTCTTAAAATTTAAAACTCATAATTTAAAGTTTAAATTAAGGTATGTTTTCACCAACTTGTCTTTGAAAAGCTAAATGTCCTGAACAAAGAGCTCCAAGGAAATGACTCTATCGTTTTCCTGCAAGGAGGCAATTAACGCATTTTACTGGAAACTAAAGCTGTTCTGGTTGAACCTTGGGAGACAGGATTTTGCAGTACAGTTTCCTTCCTTAGCAAATATATCCACCGAGCTGCTTGATGATGACCTAGTAGTGTATGTTGATCATTTGAAGCAGTTGCATTAATGATATGAAAACTTGTTTCTCTGATCTACAACAAATGACAATGTTGCATTGGTTTGTGGATTCTTTCATTGCTGATGCATCTAAAGTTGATATCACCCTACAAGAAAATTTCATTGAACTTCAAAATAACACAGCAGCTCAAGTGAGGTTCAAGTATGGAGGATACCAGAATCTGTGGATGAATGAAGACATGCATAAGAATTACCCATTACTTTGGAAAGATGTAAAGTTGCTCTTATTCACTTTTCCCACATTTTATTTGATTGAGTCTCGTTTCAATTGGATGATGCATCTGTTGTTAAAGATGTAGAAAAAAAAAAGGGCAATTTCTCTCTGATGACTTTCAAGCCATTGACAATATGGCGGCCTGCACCAATCACAGGGACCCCATTGAAACCATACAAGATAGATCTGATGGTACATGTATTTTCTGTTTTGTAAACAAATGAGTTTATTTAAATAAAATATTTATCAAAATAATGTTATTCTTTGATTTACAACTGGAGTTAGTGTTTTGATGCCATGGAACTATACAAATGACAACCTTTAATATTCCTACTTCCCTAGAAGTGCCAAGTTAAGGGACGGGATGGGAGGGAGGATAAGAACTCAAGTTGGCAAGAGGAGCCATAAAGAACTTGCATTGGATTGAAGGGAGCCACAAACTGAATAAGGTTGAGAAACATTGGTTTAGTTCATCATCAGTTATGATATGTTTATTTTCATCCTCATTCTCTGTTTTTTTTTTTTTCATGCTTGAACCAACCAAATCTTCATATATCACATTATCTTCAGTGCCATCTGCTAATCACTTCAGTCCTAAAAGCATTTGAAAATCAGTCTTTCGTCGTAAATCAGATAATAAATGGTATATATGAACCATGCAGATCAAGTGCTTTTATTTGATATCTGACATGGTACTGTTGGAAAATGTGATTGCATAAAATCGAAATATCAGAAAAAATGAATTTTCTCCCTTGCTCTTGTTTATGCTTGAACCCAGGGTACTCACCTGGACTACTGATATGCCATGGTCTATTTCAGATTCTCTATGATGTCAAGTGGATAGGTCACACCTCTGATCTGACTCAAGGTTGAATGACGATGAAATAGTTTAGAAAATATCAATTCTGATATTTATTCAAGCATGAAGAATCTTCTAAAAGATCTCTACGACTACAACTCATCCTGGGAAGTGGGGAGGATAGGGATAAGAACTCAAGTTGGCATGAGGAGCCATGAAGAAAATGAATTGGATTGAAGGAAACCATGAACAGAATAAGGTTGAGAAACATTGGTTTAATTCATCATCAGTTATGATATGTTTATCTTCATCCTTATTACTGTTGGATAAAAAAAATAAATTATAAAATACATTTAATATCTATTGCACATACATACAGAGCCGGTTCAAGAGTCTTGTAGTATACAAACTGAATCTATGATATGATCCCACCCTTTAATTTTAATACATTTCATTTTTCATAAAGTAAAAATAAAAATAATAGTGATAATTCCTTCTTAAATAACCCTTAATCTTGGAGAAAATCTGATTGCAATCATGATACAGGACCCCCCCTCCCCCATTCTACTACATCTCAATTTTCATGAGGTTGTATTCATATAAAATATAAATTTCATTGCAACCTAATTATGCACAATAATGGATCATATACAATATAGGTGAACAATTCAACTAGAAAAATTGAAAATAAATACAATGTATCTAAATACAAATTAGAGACATGTCATAAAATAGATCATTCCATCTTAAATAAATCATTGTTCTGTGGCAATTTTTAACATCATCTTGAGATTTTTCTTCTTAGAAAGTTGAATAGTTTTTTAGAATACATTCAGCATTATTGATAAAAAGTATTGAATTCTATATGGTTTCTTTTCTAGATTTTTGACCAAAACAAATTCACGGATTTCAATGACCTAAAATAGTGTCTGGGTCGTCGAAATTTTTTCATTGTTACATCGTCATTGTGCTTAGTTTAAATTGTTAACATATATAAATGTAGGTAGAAAAAAGCAAATGTTGATAAGATAACAAGGGTCACAAAGCACTGCTTGGGGTCTCCAATCAGTCTTGACCCTCCCCCTAGTCGGGGCGGAGGAGGGCATACACACCAGCCCTGACTATATGTACACTGTAATTACTAAGAAATACACATTTTTTTGGTGCTATTATGGGATGATATCTACCAAGGCCGTTACAAGCTACCATAAATGACGATGCACTCATTATTGCTGGAAAATGCTCAGGAAAAACGATGACCTGTTTACAGTACTGTTTTTTTAAATGACATCAAATCAGTTTACAAACATTAAAATCACTATTTGATGATTTTTTATGCTTTTTATATAAAAAATTGTCAATGATTTTTAATACATAAGCAGTTAACTGTTCACTGCCTTTGACCCTAGCCCTAACCTCTAACCCTGACCCTTAACCCTAAACACTAAACCTAACCCCTGACTTTCCCTGCCCTAACGCCTGACTCCCTAACCCTAACATCTAAACCTAACCCTAAACCCTCACTCCTTAACCCTAACCTCTAAACCTAACCTTAACCTTTAATCCTAACCCCTCACTCCCTAACCCTAACCTCTAAACCTAATCCTAACACCTCACTCCCTAACACTAACCTCTAAATCTAAACCTAACCCCTCACTCCCTAACCCTAACCTCTAAACCTAACCTTAACCTTTAATCCTAAACTCTAACCCTGACCCCTAACCTCTAAACCTAACTCCTAACCTCTAATCCTAACCCCTGACTCCCTAACTCTAACCTCTAAGCCTAACCCTAACCTCTAGTCCAAAACCCAAGCCCTAACCTCCAACCCTGGCCCTAGCGCTAACGCTTAACATATTTCATACTTCCAACAGTTGGTAAATATTTTACCATAGGAGAAAATGAATAGTAAATATCATAGGACGGTAGATAGCAAACTGTACTAGCACCTATTTTGTCGTGAACAAAACTGTTAATTATATCCTTTTGGAGTGGGGGGATTTTATTTGTTTATTATGAAAATCAAATAGTATTGTCGTTGTGCGTGGGGCTCCCTTTGTTTCCTGGCAACTAAGAATTTTAGACTCAGTCCGCCACTGAATGGGTTTAATAAATATTCATCGACAGATGTCACGAAACGTCAACTATGTCATCTAAAACTAGAAGGAGTCAATTAGGGAGAGGGATACAAACATGCTGAGATAAGTAAATAAATGAATAGTGAACAAAGAAACTCAACAGTCCAAGATCAAGCTGAACTGATAAGACAATCCGATAAAATCTATCAGGTTTCCCCAATTTGTCGATATCGATCTCTGTTCGTATCTATCTCCAGTTGTTTGTAATTAATTATCTCGTTCAATTTACCATCAATCAACGCTGTGTTCACTGTCTCGGTCACGTCCTTCTATGACTTGATAACCACCCTACCAAAGTTGTCTGACAGTTCGACCCGCCATCTACAAACTGGTGACGAACTCGCGGCAGATCACATAGCCGCTGACAGGTCTTCGTCTGTCTGGACCCCCAGCAGATTGATCCAATGCTGGAGGATGTTCCAGCGCACAGCTAAGACTGTGAGAGATGGAGGGACAAGATGGCTCTCGTGGGCTCAATGCCTTCATGATATGAAATTTAGCAGTAGAAGCAATTAGAGACAAAAAAAAAATACAAGTTCAGTTCCTACATGTCGATCTCATTCTTTACGCCCTTTTCCCAGTTTATTTGTATGTCAGTATATCTCCTCACAGATGAAGAAGAGACGAAGCAATAGAAACCTGGTTCTAGAAAAAGATGCTGAGAATATTATGGACCGAACATGTAAGCAAGGCGAATGTTTTAAACAAAAATGATACTTATATTTAACTTAAGAAAAAGACAGTTGAAATTTCTAGGCCACATAAATGAGGAAAGAGGGCTTGGAAAATTTGATACACACAACAGATTGAGGGCAAGAGGGACTGAGGAAAACAACGCATAACATACCCATTGCACTTGTGCAAATGAATG